TTTGTGTGGAGTTTGCAAGTGCTTGTAGATGACAGGGCCGGAAGGTGTGGCTTGAACAAGTCTTTTAATAATTTTTACTGTTAGGAAAATGATTTACTTTTTCTTGTATGGTGACACTTTATTATTCTGTGGCATTCAGCTGCCCGGTCTGCTGTCTATGTGTTCAGAGAGAAAAGTTTGGCAATCATTTGATTTGACAGAGCACTTTACAGATTTTTTATTTTTAATTGTATTTTAAAACAGGAATGATCAGACCTTAAATATGTGAAAAAAATATCTTCCAAGTTTTTTTGTACTTGAAATGACTACTAAATAATTAAAATATAAATGGCATTTTTCAAGATATGTAGTAAAGACATAAAAACAACCTCTAAAAATTAGAACTGTTTTACTGTTTTCCATCTATGTCTAGGACCTGCGCAAATCTTGACTCAAGGAAAAAAAATTTATGGGTTTCTTAGTAAAGAGAAACGTTCTTTCTTGATAAGGAATTTTCCTACGCGAAGTAGCATTGATGTTGCATGCATATTTTAATTCTGAGAAATCAGTGTATTTTGAAGAATTTCTTATTCTTTTAATTTAAAAAAAAAAGTTTACCCTAAGCATGAATCCTCTTATTGTTGGAGGTGATCTGCAACAAAATGACATTTTTATTTTTTTAGAAAGTAGATAAATACAAAAAGATACTTATGCTTACCAGTTCTTTTAAAAATGACTTCAGGAGCTTAAGTAGTTAGTTCAGTGTGTTGTGCGTATGTCCACAGAAAAACTTGGGAATAAATTGTAATGTCAGAAGTACTAGTGAAATTATTGTTGAAGTTTCACGAATAACAAAATACTTAAGTGGCTGTATCTTTAATCAGTTTTAGTTTGGGTGACGGGATTATTGCTGCAGTTACATGACTGAAAGATTGTAGGTTTGGCTCTGTTTTCTTTATGCTTCCTTTGATTCAGAGTTGTTTTACGCTCAGTCCATTTCTTTGTTTAGTAGTTGTCCCTGTAGAGCTTATTACCTTGACCTATCCAAGTTCATTATTTTGTGTATGTTTGAAGAAAATTGCTTTATTTTTAAATGTCAGAAAACTGTTAAGTGACTATACTTCATAATACTTTACACTGTAGTAAATACAACAGAGATGTCCTGCTTACAATCTACACAGGTACGTACCTAATACGATATGTAAACTGCTTAAGCCAGCTGGCTAGTCTGTTGTAACTTGGGTCATGTTGCATGTTTGTTAACCCGATCTCAGCTATTTTTCCTTACACTAAAACTTTGTGTATCTTGGTTTTTTTTTTTTTTAATTGTACTTTGAATTAAAAAATTAGCATTTAGATCTAGAATTCCTGCCTTATAGCAAGTAAAATTTGCAGTTGACGATAAGCTGATGTCAGGATAGAAGCAACAGGACTTGCCAAGCCTTTGACTGTATCTTGTTTTCTGTGGGGGTAAACAGAGGAAGAAAGAACTAACTTTGAAAAGTAACAACAGAAAAGCACAGTAGTGGGGGTTGTTTTTGTCTCCTTTCCTCTGTATAGATGCATCCCCACTTTCTGCATATAAACTTAACTTTTTTTTTCCCTTCTTCCTCCTCCCCACCCCATAGGGTTTGCAGCCTCAGGCTACACAAAGTGAATCATATGATAATATATTCAAATGTGATCTTATTTGGTAAATTGGTATGCCTTTTTGTAAAACATTTTAAAAAATCATGGAAATGGCACCACGCCCTCATGCTACTCTTAAAAGATATTATAGACATTTATTAATCTTATTCCTGTAAAGAATCGGATCTGATAGCATAATGAATTAGTATGTACGTTTGTCTTCCATTCTATAAATTACTCCACCGGTCACAGTCTTAACAGAAGTCTGAACAAAATTGTTAAAATTTTCTGTAAGTATTTTAAGAGATCATTTGAACGGACATCCGAGGAAACCGATGTAGAAAGTTTATTCCTTTCCTGCCAATGGGAAGATTAGGATTCCTTGATTTTTCACTATAGGAGACTTGTATCTTTTCAAGTTATCTGTATCTCTTTATAACTTTTGAACTGACACCACCTCAAGTACAGTTCCTCGTATTGGTTATTCTGAGGCAATGGAAGCTCATGGTTACTCTCTTAATATTTGATTCAAAATGTGATGGCTTAAAAATGAAGCACACAGAACTGAGACAGAGAAGAATGTGTATGTAGAACACGTCTACAAGTTGTAATGGGTTTAAAGTCTGTTTCTGTCCTTTTTGGGTTTAAATTGAATTCTTAAACCTGCTTTTCCTTTTTTTAAAAGCTCATGTGATGTGCAGGTCTGGTTACAAGCTGCTCTGTTAGAACAGGCCCTTCTGCTGGGTTAGCCTTCCTTAGTTGCAACTTTTCACGTATTCAGCCAGAACCGCTAGAACTGCGTGCAAGATTCTGTCTGACCGCCCTTTTCCCCCCACAGTAACAAAATTAGTGTCCGTTTCACACCTAAGATTTCATTGCGCACGCAGTTGTCTTCTGCTGGGTTTGTGTGTGGAATATCTACTTCACAGGCTACTTTGTCCCTCTTTTATGGAGAGATGACCATTGCAATGCCTGATGTAGTATTTTTCCTGTTACTCTTGGTTTGTGGGCTGTGGGTTATTTTTTTGGTTTTGTTTGGTTTTTGGTACCGGTGAATGGCTGTTAGTTTATTTGTGTTCATCATCTATAATTCATTTAATTTCTGCTTTGATAGATAAATTGTACTTTCTTTTTTCTTTTAATAAACATCCCCCTCCCCCCACACACCTGCCTACTCTGTTTTCCATCATTAATGATGTTCCAGAAAGACTATAAAACATTGAAACAAGCCAAAAAAAAGATCACCACCCCTGTTCGCATAAGACAGAAACAAATGATCACCTACTTTGGAAAGCTTCAGAAATGCAGAAAAATTCTGGGTATTTAAAAGTCAGATTTCATATTAGAGAAGTTCTGAGAAATGAAAGCATCTATTCATTAGATGTCCTCTGCTGTTTTAATTTTCTTTTGATCAAAGGTTCAGTGCTTTGCATTCAGAATGGAAATTGTTAATTTAATGACATGAAAGCACGCCAGATTATAATTAGGGGTGAGCTATATGCTGAAGTTAGCATAGCCCATAGCAATTTCCTCTATGACTGTGCTTGTCAGAAGCATTTATATACAAATTTGGTTTATCTACAAATTTGATTTATATTAAATTGGCACAGTTGTTTTTTTTAAGAACAGCTTTAGAGAGTACATTTTAAAAAAAAAGTATTTAAAACACTCTAGATAATATTTCTCAGATTATAAATGGGCAATGTGTAATTACCATGTTTTGCTAATCAGCGTTTGAGTTGTTTTCTTATGCCGTGCTAGATTAGGTGGCTTGTTCACTCCAGGAGTTATTCCAGATTAACCGTGGATCTGAGTATGAATTGCTTGTATTAAAATGTGGTAAGACTAAATTTATTATTTACCCAGGTTTCCTATGCTTTCAGACAATAGGTTATTGCAAGATAAACTAATGTAGTATACAGCTCCTCTGTGGCAAATGGGTATGCCTTTTTCACTTAACAGAAGATAATTTGAGTGTATATAAAGCGAGTGAGCTGCCTCTTCTTATAGATAGATAGATGTGTGTGTGTGTGTGTGTGTGTGTGTGTATATTTCACACTAGAGTAAGAGTGCATCCTTAGGCTGTTGTCATGAAGTAGTGCATGTGTGGATGCTTGTCTGTGTGACAAAATCCCAAAGCGCTCTTATTCAGGATTTAAGTGGTTAAAATCCCTTTTGGTTGTCGTCAAAAATTAGACTTGTTTCTGTGCAAAGGTCTAATACAGTTTAGCTAATTCATTTTAAATGTTAGTTTATCAAAGCTTCCCCAAGTGTCTTCCTCTAGATAAGTTGTAGCTTACGGCTTTTGAAAAATCTTGGCTACTTCATAGTCTCTTCATTCTAATTTATAATTCCTGGTACACTTCAAGATAAAAATATCTTAAGTATAAAGGAGTAATTCCTCAATTCTTTATTCTTGTTATAGAGCTTTTTTTTGGTAACGTTTTAAGAAGAAGCAAGCGATTTCTGTGTCTTATGCCTGTGTTTCCTCATTGTTAGACTTGTTTGTCACTTCAGTAACAGGACATGTAATGATAATTGCCTGAGGTCTTAAACATTTTTGGTCTTTATTTGTATTTTGTAGAGGTGTTTACAAACATTCAGAAATTTATTAGCCTTGACATAGTGCATGACCTACTGACAAAATAGCACAGTGAAATGTTTCTTGCAAGTATTATGTCAGATGCTGGGAAAAATTACTTGTGTAACAGTTCTTGCAACTTCATTAAAACAGCCACATCTAGACCTGTAGACAATTGAACATCGTATGTAACTTGATTTACATACTAGGGGGTAGTTGTTATTTTTAAAATATATATGTATAATACCTTTTCTAGCTCCTGGAAAAAGGTGAAGATGGTGTTTTCTTCTTACTGTATAAAGGACTAAGGTTTTTCTTGTTGTTGATGGATCTATCTTTACCCTTTTCAGAGGGTTGGATAATATTTCTTCAAGTTGGGCTCCTATTTGGTGGATGTTTGTGAAGATAGCTGTAAATCAGTGGCATCTGCAAATAGTTTCTTACATACACCCACTACTATATTAGCTTCGGCAGCGAGCCAGAATCCTGAAGATGCAGCACTTAATTTGCCTGATTCTTCAATTCTCCTTAGAAATTCTTCTGTCGTTTTGTAATGCACATTTTTATTTTCATTTGTGGTTTGGCTTATGAATGAATATTTATATTAATCTTGGAAATAGAAACTGAAAAACTTGAAACGTTGTCAAAGCCAGGACTTAAAATATTGCAGAAGTCGTGCAAAAATGCCATTATGTTCTCAGTTTAAATTTCAAAATCACATGACATCTTAAAGAAAAGTTTTATTACGCTATTGAAAATTGTTTATTTTATTTTTACTTTTGAATTAACTAGTCTAATCTTTCATTTCAGAATGTATGAAAACATGTCCACAATGGTGTATCTAAAGGAAGAAAAGTTGGAGAAGCTTACTCAAGATGAAATCATTGCCAAAACTAAGCAAGTTATTAATGGACTAGAGGCACTGAAGAATGAGCACAATTCAATTTTACAGAGCTTACTTGAAACACTGAAGTGTTTGAAGAAAGATGATGAATCTAATCTGGTTGAAGAAAAATCAAACATGATTCGAAAGTCACTGGAGATGTTGGAACTTGGACTTAGTGAAGCACAGGTAAAACTGGAGTAGAAATAGCGCGTTTCAGGCTTTGACTGCTCTTTTGATATAAAAAATAAATTGAAGTTCATTATTTGGCCTCTAATTGGAACCTTTAAGCAGAGATCAGTGTTTAAGGACTTGCACTTATATTACTAAATAGTAGAAGTGAGGAGAGACATTTAAATTATTACCATGTGTTAAGGAAGAAGACTGCTGTAGCTAAACAGAAGTAGATACTAGCTGTCTTACTATGTTACAAAACTAATTATGCGTTCCGTATTAAAGCATTGCAGTCCATAGTAGAGCTCCTCTTGACTTCAGTGGGACAATTACTGCTTTCTGGCTAGACTTTTCCGTGGCGTAGTCAGGTAACGCTTGAGCAGTTCAAGAATTAGGCATTATCAGCGTTCTAACTGTAGGTCACACGCAAATACAAGAATTTGCTCAAGGTTAGGAGGTACAGTATAAAACGGCAGGGTGTTTGCAACTGAGTTAAAAATGCCAGTGGATTAACTTTGTATTAATAGGCTTTATATTGTCTATAGAGCAATTTGTGCTCGGTCTTCTCATCTGGATCGAGCTAGCATCATGCGGTGATCTGGAAATTGAGTGCATTGAATCTTGATGAGTTATGACCCGAGAGAAAGAATTAATATGTTCTACCTGTCATGGAAATGTGAAATTAAAACAACCCATTCTCTGGTCATCAGGGTATGGGCTGTCAGACTTCAGTGTATACAAGCCTTGATCCCTTGTGTAGGAAGGAAAAACTTAAAAGATAAATGGAATAAAATTGGAACAGTTGGATTTTCTTTTATTTGTAGAAGATCTACGAGTGAATGAGCATCTTTTCTCTCCTAACTCTGACATGGTATTGGGACTCTGAAAAGCTAGTTTTGATTCCTGGCTCTGTCAGACCGAGTAGCCTCAGTTTCAAATGTTACTGCCTTGTCTGCCCATCAGGGGTCTTGTGAACTGTGGTGGCTGAGGATTTAAAAAATCTGCATGTATTGCCTTTGTTAGAAGAGAAATTACACTTCAGACGACTGTTGTCAGACCTGATAAGCCCCCAGTGCTCCTGTGTGCTTTGGGATGTCGCAATGTGATCTCTCATTTCATTTGCTGTATTTAAATTAGCATATGGAAATATTTTTCATGGATATTTGTACGGTATATAGATCTGATGAAGTAAGTGTTACTACCATGAAGATGAAAGTGACTTTGCTGAACAGGTGATTGAACTTTGCTTTCAGTTAACTAGAGAGTAAGTTTGCAAAAGATTTTAGTCCGCTGTTGTAGTTTATACATTGATATTTGAGTATATTGACCTATATACGATCACATCTTTCCTGAACATATTTTCTGATGTTAAAAATGTAAATGTTTGGATAGGCCAAGTAATTTAATTTTTTAAGTTTTGCCTATGTAAAAAGATAGATGTTGAAATCTGGAAATTTGGACTGATATTACAAAACTATCCCTGGAGTTTTATCTTACCTTTATAGAAAAAGTAGTTTATAAAGACCATATGTACTTTTTGGAAATATGAAATTTCAGTTAAAAATGAAATGCTTTATATAAAATATTCAGTTTTAAAAAGGTAATTATGTTTAAAAGAAACATGAAATTGAGGGATGACATTCTAGTAACTCAGGGATGTCAAACTCTTTTTCTAGATATTATCTTTGGTGATTTTTATTGTCTCCAGTGACCCACGCTTACAGGGTGTGCTTTCTGGGTTTGCTATCAGATGTTCTGCAGGTATCAGTGGGAGATTAACTTCAACAGTGAAAGCAGAATATCTTCTGTGTGTAGTATTTGGTTTTCACTTAATAAGCTCCTCTTTCATGTAACATTATTTAACATTAAAAAAAAAAAAATCCAAGGCGATTGCTTTTATGGCCATTCTATTTTTGTCCTTAATATGGCTGCTGTCCAGACGCATCAGCTGTCTGCACACTTGAAATCATGGTATGTATATGTAAAGTGCTTATATAAATTGAGTTCAGTTCCACATTTAGACTTAAGTAGTATAACTGTCTCTTTAAAGTATTATTGTTATGCTGAGGAGTTGATCCTTATGAGCTGCAAACGCGCGTGTGAATCCTTCTCTGTCTGAAAACTGCTGAACTAGGACTGGGGTTTAGTTCTTACAGGGAAGGTTATCTTTGTAATCTTCTGAGTTATAAGTATGATTATTTAGTTTTATATTAATAGGACAAAAGGTTTCCACTTCAGTAGTCTGAATTCTAGTTCAACTTTTTAATACAACTTAACGTGGCATGTAACATTTGAGGCATTCTAAAACAATTTGACTTCAAAAAGTAGTTGCATCACGAGAAGCAGTTATTAATGAAGAATTCTTCCAGGCTAGTTTGGACTGAACAAATGATCAAAATTTTTGAGTAGAGGGAAAGTGAGCACCAAATAGATATATATAAAAAGGCAGACTGTAAACCTACTAGATTTCACAGCTGACATAGGTTCTAAGTATAAAAGGCCTTTTGTGTTTAGTACAGGACTGCATTTAGAGGACAAGTCATGTGATATCTTCCACTTTTTAGGTAATGATGGCATTGTCAAATCACTTAAATGCAGTGGAGTCAGAGAAGCAGAAATTGCGTGCTCAGGTTCGCCGGTTATGCCAGGAAAATCAGTGGCTGCGGGATGAACTAGCCAACACGCAACAGAAACTACAGAAAAGCGAGCAATCTGTGGCTCAACTGGAAGAAGAAAAAAAACATCTAGAATTCATGAATCAGTTAAAAAAATACGATGATGATATTTCACCATCAGTAAGTAGCTGTACAGTAAAAAGCAGCTTGTATTTAAATACTTGTGTTGTTGTAAGATTCCTAGTTACCAAGAAATGGGAAGCGCAAGTTTTTTATTTGTATGTGTATATGCATACAGAAATTTCTCCGACATAAAATAACTGTGTTGTTAAAATGCTTACCTTGTAACAGTGTCACATAGTTCACAGAAAGAACCTGACAGATTAGTTTCTATTTATTTGTTTACATTTTACTGCATGTATATCGTGAACTAAAATCGCTAAATATTTATTTAGCGTCATATTAGCTTAAAAATGTGAAGAACTGAACTTGAAGCCGAAAATTTCCTTTTATACACACAACTGTTCAGTGGCAGCGTAAACTATAACAGCTTGTAAGTGTATACAGGACCTGGCTTATTTTGACTCCAGGAAAAATATTTAATTTTGGTCTAGTGAAAGCAGTGTCTAGCCTCGGTATCTGTTGAGAATGTGTACTAGGGTAAGAAGTCTCTGAATCCACTTTCTTGACCCTGTGCCAAACATTGTGCATGTTTTTTGTCCCTACTTACCATTGTGTTAATAACACATTCTTAACTCACTACTAAAAAGTACTTCTAACTTGTTTACTTTTCACGTTATCTTTTTATTTTGTTTTCTTAAATTAGATGGTATTGCAGAGAAAGATCTCATTTGGTATGTTCTGACCTTCTCAGTCATGTCTTGGAAAGGACAGTTTTTCGTAACCAAGTATCTCAGTAACCTAATGAGGGAAAACACATGCGTTTTAGTCATGCTTAACCAACTACCGGACCAAATCCTTTCTAACATAGCGTGAGTTTTTTTAGTCAGCTGCATGCAGAACTTTTCAGTGTTGTTTCGCGAGTTGGTACTTGAAGCTGAAAACTTTTCCAGCATAGAGCATGAGTGCCAGCAGCAGCGGCTGCCTTTCTTTCATCTGTGGAAAAAGGTGTTGGATGGACATAATAGGAATGAAAAGGATACGTTCTGGTCTTGAGTTTTCTACTTAACTGAGATTAACATTTCTGACAGCTTTAACTGTTTATATTGTATAGGCTCCGACTATAGGAAACAGGACTGACATTTCCTTTGTTTCTTTACTTCACGTGATTGTGGAATTTGGAATGATCTTGGAATGTTTAAAATTTATATATATTAATGAATTGTCCTGAGATTAATATGATGTGAGAAGGTGAATATTGGAGATGATCTTCCTTCCAAGTGTTTTTACTTTTATAACCTTATGAATCACAATTGCAAAATTTATTTTTTGTGCAGAAATTGAGTACTCAGAAATTGAAATGAAGGAATTAAAGTTGCTGGTGCAACTTTATTCTCCGTTGGGAGATGAATCTCCTTATTCCTTTCCCCCTTGCATCAGTAACTGCATATATGACCTCCGAAGTACTGTGGACAATTGTGTGTTCAGTAGAGCTCACTCTTCACTGGGTACGTTCTGTAGGTATAACGTCTTTGTAAGAATAGTAAGCGTGTTAAACTGAGACTGAAATCTAGGAGACCTGATTTCTATTCTTGGCTCTGCTGAAGGTGTCCTGTATTTTGTTGGGACAGAATATGTAAATATACATTTGAACGTGAGACCCTCATTAAACTTCTATGAGAGGTGTTGCTCTTGGCACTTCCTACGTTCTGACTGTGGGGTTTTCCTTTAACATTGCCAGCTGAAGAAACTGTCCCTTGTCTATGTCACTGATGTAGAACTCTATTGAAATATTGTTTAAGCCTCAGATTTAATAGTGTAACAATTTGCTTGGGTTTGGGGGTGTTTTATAGGAAGATAAAGATACAGATTCCACCAAAGAGCCTTTGGATGATTTGTTTCCCAATGAAGAAGATGACCAAGGACAAGGAAGTAAGCACACTTTGAATTATATTGTTAATGTATTTCTGCAACACAGAAGCTAAAAATGCTCTTTAGAAAAATGAATAATCCATGTGTAATGTGCTGTGGACTAGAGCAGCGTGGTGATTGTCTCTCGGCCTGCTGGAAGAGGGAAATGGGAAAACCAGTCATGATGGTTGATACAGGACTTGGGACCAGATTTTTGAAGAAAGATTTCTAGCTCTTGCAAAGTTCTTGGAACTCTTTTCAGTGCAAAACTTGTTCCATGGTCTTTCCTGTGGGTCCCAGAATGGGAAAGGCTTATTTCAAGTGACTGAGGCAGGTTCTGAAACGCTGAAGCTGCTTGATGGTCTGCCCAGATGGTGTATTCTATTAAAGACCTTTCTGACTTAACGTTTTTGGGCAGGTTTCAATGGAAGTCTTTCTCATATAATCCTTTGCCTTGCGAAGATTGTCTTCCTTAGTTTGCTACTTATTCTAGAAGCGTTGTCTTCAAATCAGAAGGATTGATGAGTATGGATACAGTAAAGTTTGAGCTAGCGATCTTGTAGCATGGTTGAAGGAGGCCTTGTTTAATGCGCTTTTCTTAAGAGTGCAAAGCTGATACTGTACAGTGTATTGATGTTGTAGCGTATATGCAATATGCTGGGAGTATAATGGTTCTTAGTTGATAAATGGCTAAGCAAAAATGTCTGAAGGGCCCCTCCTTGGTCATCAGCAGTCTTGAATTTCCTTTTTGGGCACATATAAGATATAGCCTTGATAGGTTGGTAGTGAAGGCCGAAAATGGAAGGAAGGCTTAAAGGGGTTAGAATAGGTTAATGTTGATCATGAACTCCATCCTGAGCTCATCCTGGCTTGCACAGTATTTTGCGGTGGGAAATGAGAAGGGCAGAGCTGTCTCTAGGGCTACACAGTCTATATACCTAATTTTGCTCCACAAAAGAGAAGCGTGTCACTTCAGTAATTTCTTCAATCTCCAGGAAGAATGCTCAAATACTTAAGTGCTTTGGGAGGCAGAGATTGTGGACATAGGTTTGGAATTGTATGATTCCACTGACATAGGGCTCCCACTTGCTGTGAGAGTGTTTTTTGCTTAGTAGAGAGGAGAGAAGAAAGTCAGGCTCACCACTGGAGCTCTTGTCCTGTACGTTGGCTGGAATTTAATGAAAGTGAACAGTTTAGGTGCTGCAGGAAAAAAAGTGTGGCTAACCCTGAGGATGAGGAAGTACAATCAACAGGTTGACACTGGCTTTGACTCGCTGCCTCTTCTCTTCTAACTGTTGCTCATGGCGCCAAAGTGTTTTAATCCTTTATGTGACAACCCAGAGCATTTCTTGGAAGGTATGGCAAACAAAAGAATACAAAAAAAATTTTTGTACTTTTAGAGAAGGAGAATAAAGGAAAAAGAGCAGATCATTTCAACTTTTCTGCAGGTGTTTGGTTTCTCTGTCTCAGTATTCCTTTCCATAGGCAATCTTGAATATTTCCGAATGTAGAGTTAGGAGATTTGTTAATAGCTTTGCCGAGCTGGAATAGATTCCTACTTTCTTCATTTGTTTTTTACATTTGGCCCTGTAAGCTAATAGAAGTGTGAAATATTAATAGTACCTTTATTATTTCAGCAAGGATAGAGTATGAAGAATAAAACTGTCATCTTCTCACTGTTACTGTTCAAGAAAGCGTAAATGCTGTGAAGTGTATTCTGATATTAATGCCTGGTATTGAGGAAATCTAGCGATTCTCTTTCTGTGTCATTGAGCAGTAACGTTAGATGTTTTACAATTATGGTAATCTTTTTAAACAACTTTAAAATCTCATGGATTTCTTCCAGTTCAGCAACAGCATAGCAGTGCAGCTGCTGCTGCCCAGCAAGGTGGCTATGAAATTCCAGCAAGATTAAGGACCCTCCATAATCTTGTTATCCAGTATGCTTCCCAAGGTAGATACGAGGTTGCTGTACCGCTTTGTAAGCAAGCTCTTGAAGATCTGGAGAAGACTTCAGGTCATGATCATCCTGATGTTGCCACCATGTTAAACATACTTGCTTTGGTGTACAGGTTTGTATTCTGACGTAGGTGTATACCAGTTAAATAAACAGTTAACATTTGACTGTAACCTGTTAATGTTCAGGCTAATATTTTTTGACTGTTTTATTATTTTGTCACATTTTTTTTTAAAGCCTTGAGAGGATCCAGTGATACTTGAATTTTAGTGTAAGGAGACATACAAATAAGTTGTTGAATTTTTGCCTATGCTTTTGTTTTGAGAATGACACTGCTTTTGAAACTGCTTCTCTACTTTGTGTCTACTGAGGGGGCAAGCAGGTTATCCGCTTGCAGATAATCTAGAGCTATGAACTGGAGAGCAGTGTAGAAGTAGAACAGTTCCAGTCTTCCAGCAAACTGCTTTCCATGTTCATGAACCAGAAAGAGAAAAGCTGAAGCCCGTAACTGTATTCTGAGGGATCTTTTTCCTATGTAATGGAATGTTCAGGCCAGTACTGAAGCCAACCCTTATTTTTATTACTTTCTGAATCCCCATTATTAATTATAACTTTTCAAAATTTAGGGACCAGAACAAATACAAAGATGCCGCAAATCTCCTGAATGATGCCTTGGCTATCCGCGAGAAGACTTTGGGCAAAGATCATCCAGCGGTTTGTATACATGCAATGTCATATTTTTAGTAATTTTCTGCTGAAATTTTTTCAACTCATTCTAATATTAAACTCAACAGGGAAGTTTTTAAGACCTGGCTATAATCTCTAAACAGTACAGGTAGGAGGCCACAATATAACATATTTTATTTTCTCTTAAATATTTAACATACTTTTTGAGCATTGTATTCGATTCTGTTTCACCACAAATGACTCGCACTTGATTTTGGATCAGATTGCATGGATTTTCTATGGGAAATTAATATATGAAGAAATATTTTAATTTGCTCGCTCAAATCAGTTTATTAAACGCAGATTAAAGGTGTATTTCTGATTTGTTTCACTCTTGCTTTTAAACGAAGCGTAATTCAAATCAAGCTTTTGTACTCAATGTTTGAAATTAATGTGATGTCTCACTTCGTGTGGGTTGAAGTGGGACAACACTGGGTATAGATTTGAGAAGTAACTTGGAGAGAAGAAAGTAAAAAGAACATGTATGCGCTTTATGACATTTGAACAAATGAGGTAAAAGTATTTCATGCCTTTTTCATGCTTTGTTTACATATATGCATTCAGTAACTTTTTTTTTTTTTCCCCTTCACTTGCTTTCTCCAAGAGATCTGTCCTGCGCATGGAAGATTTAAAAACATGAGTGCATTCTAGATGTATTAATTTGTCAGGTTTCTGTATCAGCAAATTTCAGTGTAATTAGTATTTCTCTACTGTTGGCAGGTGGCAGCAACTCTAAACAATCTTGCAGTGCTTTATGGTAAACGCGGAAAGTACAAGGAAGCTGAACCTTTGTGTAAGCGAGCTCTGGAAATCAGAGAAAAGGTATAAGCTAAAATACAGCACCTCTGGATAATTTTCTTTTTTTGGTGAAGGGGGGACATTGTGTGTGGTGGGTGGGTGGGTGTGGTGAGTTTTGGTAGGGTAGAACTACCAGAGCAACCGCAGAGTTAGCAATGCCGTAGTAGTTAGTAATGTCTGAAGTGCGAAGTAATATTAAATGCCCATACTCCTACAGAGATTTTTGAGAACTCTGGGTATATTCTAAATTCTGAAACTTGTAATAAATCTACTTCTCTGCCTTTTTTTTTTTTTTTTCCTTCTTCATTGACAGTTAAGTAATCTTTGTTTTGGCAAGATCATTGGAATAAAAAAGAAACATCTTTAAACATTTTGAAGTTGATTAGCTATGTGGGTATTTGTTCTAGTCTATGTGATTGAATGTTTGTATCTTTGAGCTTTTTTAAAAATCTTCTTTATAATTATATTGCTTAAATTATTCTTGTTATGAATTGCTCTGCAATATTGTCAGTTTATAATTGATCTGAATAATTTGCATAATTCTTATATGCAGGTTTTGCTTTCATCGTCCTCATGTTGAAATTGAAGAGAAATAAAAACTTGAAGGGTATAACGTGATGCATTTTTAAACCCTGATATGATGACTGGAGGATCTTTTAATATGAGGTATTTCATTTTCAGGTCTTGGGGAAAGATCACCCTGATGTTGCCAAACAGTTAAATAACCTGGCTTTACTGTGCCAGAACCAGGGTAAATATGAAGAGGTAGAATACTACTATCAGAGGGCACTGGAGATTTACCAAACTAAGCTGGGACCAGATGATCCGAATGTTGCGAAAACAAAGAATAACCTGGTAAAGTATTTTTAAAGTAAATCTAAGAAAAAGTAAACTCTTTTTCTGATGGATTGAAACGTATGTACCTTTATTCAGCATTTATTGTATTGATTGCTTATCAAGCTAAGTAAAACAGTGTGCTGATATGTTTTTTGGGGGGGGGTATCTTGTTTTTAGGCATCCTGCTATCTAAAACAGGGCAAATTTAAGCAAGCAGAAACTTTATACAAAGAGATTCTTACTCGTGCTCACGAACGGGAATTTGGCTCTGTAGATGGTAAGAAACTTAGTCGCTAGCATGAATATATGTTTCATTTTTTTTTAATAATTCTGAAAATCTGTAGGATATTAATTGTTTCCTGATTAAAATTGTCTGTTTGAGGCAGATCTAAAAGGTGAAATTACAGAATTGAAGTGCTGCAAAGCTTACCATAGGAAAGCATTTAGATACAGCAATAACTTTTAAATCAAAATGAGGAATTTTCTTACATGTAGGACACTTAGTAAGTTTGTTTTATGGATTGCGTTTCTGGCTCATTTATTTTTATACCTAAGAGAAATTTTGTAGAGGCAGAAAAACGTTCATCTTTTTTCCAGTCACAGGAATAAATCAGTACAGGATTCTTGGTGACAGAATAACTACACTGTTGAAATGATCAAGTGAGTCGTCCATTAATACAACTAAAGAATGGGGAAAAGCCCTTAAACTGTAAATTACAAAGTATATTGAAGTCAAATGCATTTCATCAACTGTGAATCACAGTGAAGAATTTTCAGTGAACTGTATGACAGTAGTGTGTGCACCATTTAGTAAATGTCGAAACAGTTTGTTTTGATAAAAGAAATAAATGTATGCTTTCTAGCAAATAACTAGGGACGTGGCAAACTGATGGCAGTATATACTGCCATCAAAGCTTCTTGGAAGTAACTCTATTTCTAACGTCAGATAAGAAAAGACAGTATTGTTAAACTACAAGGGATGAAGTGTATGTTTTATTTATCTGCTGCTTCTTTCTGTCGTATGAACTGTAACTTTTTTTGGTGGTAGTAGCTTTATAAGTCTGTGGTTCTCAGCTGTATTTTAGAAGGGTGAAAATTAAAAGTGACTATTCTGCAGTTTTATACTATAAAAAAATTTTCTTTTTCATCAGATGAAAATAAGCCTATTTGGATGCATGCTGAAGAGAGGGAAGAGTGCAAAGTAAGGCCATTGTAGTAAAACTTTGGGGGGGGCTTTTACTATTTAGGTCACAGATTAGTTATTTTTCTTCATTACTTTTGTTTTAGGGAAAGCAAAAAGATGGCACATCTTTTGGAGAGTATGGTGGCTGGTACAAAGCTTGCAAAGTTGATAGGTGGGTATTTTCTTTACAGTATCTTATCCACGTGGCAACCACAATATCCAGAAATGCCAGGTTAAAGCATATTTAAAAGTTAAACCAAACCATCAAGGGGCTTATGGCTACAAAAACTACAGTATTAGAAGTTCAGGCTCAAGCTGGCTTTCAGGAAGCCAATAGCAGTTTCTAAGCCCTAAGGCTGCTTTTAGTTTAGGCCAGTTAGATCTAGTGGGTGACGTAAGAATTCACTACATCTTTCCTGTTTTTGGCAATTCTTCACGTGGAGGCGTAGGTCGCTCCTTTTTAAAATATATATATATATATAGTTGGTTGGCATATGCCCTCTTCCCCACCCTGCTCTAGCAAAACCTCTAGATAAGGCCCGAAGCTGAAAGAAGTTGAAAGGAGACTGTGCAAATAGCTTAGCCTCGAGTTTCTATTTGGCACAAGAAAACAAAGTTAAACTGCCACGCTTCTTGTTATTAGAGTTTTGAGAGCTCAAAGAATGTGATTTTGTTTGAGTGAAAATGCGTACCTTGAAATGAGCGCTTCAGTTTGCATCATGCTTGGTGAAACATCTTTTGTATATTTTAATTTTGTTCCTTAACTGCCTTTCTTTGTGCACATGGTGCGATGTTAGAAAAAACCCTGCACCTAGTACTGACCCTGTTTAATGAGTTGTTTTTCTTTTTGTGTTTGTATTCTTGTTTAACAAGCAACAGAAGCTTTGTATTTTTGAAACCTGCCCCCCCCCCCCGCTTCCTGAGCTCTGGGTACTGTACCTTCTTTTGGTTTGCTTCTTATGTTACCAGATCATTCTATCGCATGAGGAAATCTTTTCTCTGTTGTTGCTGGAGAAAGACTTCAAGCAACAATATTGTGACTAAGCTAATTCTCAGTGTGTCATTGAATCAAAAACATCTTGTTGGACTGTGAGACTTGTTAATGAAATGTGCCATTTTTTTCCTTTATTTCCTTGTTCAAATCTGTTTCGAATGCATAGAAACTGAGAATAGTTGCTAAGTGAAAGCTGCTGAAAGGAATTGTTAATCTGTTTTGTGACTAACGCTACAGTAACAGCCACTGTTTGAACTGATAGGCTTGTTTTCTGGAAGCTTCACAATTATGCGGCTTGACACAGTCAGATTGAGCTAAATTTTCACCTCTGGAGATTGTGGTTTTCAGATGCAAGGATATAGCACTCCACTTTTCTGTTGAATGGCTCTAGAGGCTAGTTACTAACATTTCATTTCCAGGCTGAAGGCTAATCATAGTGTGAGCTGTTAATGCGCTTCAGAAAAGGTTAACGGGTTTTTCATGTATCTTGTGCTACTACAGTGGACTTCAGAAGAGAGTTACATAAATGAATATAATATTCATCATCATCTTTATTATTAAGTTGTTATTAGTTTATAAGTTGAAAATAATTTAACGTATCAGTATATATACGTTATATATATTTGTATATATTTTTTTGATAGTCCAACAGTAACAACTACCTTAAAGAACCTCGGGGCACTTTATAGACGGCAAGGCAAATTTGAAGCTGCGGAAACGTTAGAAGAGGCAGCAATGCGATCTCGTAAACAGGCAAGTATGAAAATTCCCCTTAATGATATTTCTGCTTGTGGTCATTCAGATTTTCAACTTAATTTTGTATATTTTGCTTGCATGATGCTCTTAGCTGTACAGTATTGGGTACTTTTTTTTTTAAGTGTGTGTTCTGAGTTACACAGAACCAGGTTATTACCTTTGTTACCAAAAAACACCCTTAAATTTCAGTCTGAATTGTTCATAAAGTGGTACCGTCCTTACCCTTGCAAACTGGTTAATTGCTAGGGCAATGGCACCAGTTGCTAGGGCACGATTCAAAGCGGGAGTGAAATTATGTGCAAAATAGAAGAGCAGAAAATGCTGTCTCGGCCACAAGTCCTCGTTTGAGTAAGTGTCCTGGGAGACCTACTGTAGCTAAGGGAAAATGGAGAGCTTCTGTTGATTAAACCCCTTTTGCCAGTAATGCTGCCAGTAGTGTCTGAGACGTAAGACTGACGGCTCCTTATTAATAGTACAAATGTTCTGGTTTTGCATGCGACAGATTGGGACTGCTTGCTTCTAACCCTCAGAAGAACATGAGAAATTTATCAGTTGCTGTTTGTGTTTTGCAAACTGATGTGATACATGTTACTATTTGAGGGGCTTTTTAATGTGGCCAAGTCCTGTGCTGTGTCTGCGCTCTCAAATCTATTTTTTCAGGTAACCCTCCCTCACTGTCTCAGAAGGTGGGAAACAGATTTCAGTCCTTCCCTTTTGGACGATTTAAAAGTACATGAAATTGGACAGCAAACGAAGCTGATCAGTCAGTTTAAAATGGAAGGCAAAAAAAATGTAAATAAACAAACAACAGAACTTGCAAAGTTGAATTTCTAGTTTCATTTTTCTGTGGTTGGGGGGAAGTGAGCGTATGAAGATTTGGGGGTTTTTTGTTTGTTGGTTTTTAAGAAGTGGCTTCTTAATGTTGCCATGGAAAATTCTAATTGTAAATTGAAGTAAGCTGATCTAGAACAGGCCCACAGAAAATGATGGACCGTTATCTTTATAGATCGTGATTATTTTATTGGTTTTGCTGATACGGAGTTGTATTTTAATGAACGATTCTGCAGCATTTCATTTTATTAAGCATACCTCAGATTTGGCATAATACACTACCAATACTACTATGCCATCGTATGTCACGTCTCACGAAGAGCTAGATTGGGACGTCAGGATCAATGCTGTCTTGTTAGCAGCATTTGACACTACCTTTCTGTTCTAGGTGATTAAAAGACAATCAGGGTTAATACACTTCCCCTTTTGAGCTAAAAGCAAAGAGGTACTGCTGTTTGTTCCCAGACATGGAAGAGCATCAGTCCTCTACAGTTCTGTTCTCCTTTGCGCATGTATGGTTTGCTTTAGCTACTGAGTTATGTACACTAAATTTTTACAAACGAGTGGAGTTCTTTCGTGGTTTGCTTGATTGTCTCCTGAAAGATGAGGGCAAAGTGCTTTTCCCTCATCCCTTTGACTTTTTAACACGTGAGGTAAATGAGAGATGATAGCTTTGGAGCAGAGCCTGGAGTCCGTATGTGGCATTTCTGCTCTTAAGTGTTGATTTGAAATACCTGTTAGGCTTTTCATGTTCTGTACTGTTAAAGGGACTGATGCAGATTAAAGCCGTTCTGAGTTTATGCTTCTTTACTATCTGAATTCTAGCTGCTTTTCTGCCCTGAGCACCCCTGAGGAAGTGAGCTGCGTGTGTTAGTTTCATGCTTCCTTGTGTACAGAATTCCATTAGGGAAGGCTCTTCAGTTAGTAGCTCTCCGGGATCTAAGAACTTGATTTCTCCATGTCGCTGCAGAAACAGCCTTCGTTCTTATTCATGTAGTTGCTTTACATTTAGGGGTGTGTGTGTGTGTGTGTGTGTGTGAAATGTGTATTCTAGCTCTGCTTTTAGAACTGCCAGCAGTTTGCTTCCAAATCAGAAGCAATGCTCTAGTTATTCCCAGTACCCTATGGCATGTAGTGTTCATGTAAGCTAACAAAGTGCATTTCATCCTTTTTTACTGGTTGATCACTGTGAAGAATAATGGTCTGTTCATATTAACAAGTTCCTTCTTGCCAAGGTGGGTCATTCTGAGCAGGTGATTCTAAGTCTTATTTACTGACCAGGGCAAGTCTTAACGTTAGTTCCATTTGATGGAATTTGGGTTTTCTTTCTGCTTGTATTTTCTTAACTATACAATTACACATGCAAACTGTTTGAGAAAAAATAATGTAGGAAGTACTAGTGTTAAAGTAGTTGCATGAGCTTTATTTTCTGTAATCTTTTTACACTGTGGTAGACTTTATGTATTTACGCTACAGATGAACTATTGCATTTGTTGCTGAAGCTGGACAGTAAAAGATGCAGTATTTCTTTTTATCCTTGAAGAAATGATCTGGGATCTCTTCCCCTCAGCAAATATAATTTACGATGTGGAGAAGGTTTATTATTAAATTGTGCACGAGGAAACTGAGCCAAGTATAAACACGATTTGAGCTTTGTTCTTTTCTAGCTTCTGTGTTAATGACTTTACCTTTATTTTTAATGCAAGGTTTTCCTTTAAGGTGTTTTAGCAGATATTACACTGCTAAAGATAGGTGTGAGGTGGAAAGCTGAGAATTGCATTGCCACTTGGTGATCTAAAAATTGCTTAAATATACAGCTGGTGGCCAAAGAGCTTCAGGTGAGTGACATGTACATGATGAGGCTTTGGCAAGTGACAGAGCTGGCAAAAGAATACCAAGATGTTGAGTTCAGAAACTTCTGAACTGTCCCTCCCTTCAGGCTGTATTGATGCCTGTGGTGTATAAAAGGCAATTCGCTTTGCCTGTGCTTTGAAAGTAGAATCAGGGTGATGGGGTTAAGTGTTTGATCGACTGTGCCGATAAGAGTTATTGTGTATAAATTGTAGATCAGTATTCGGCTTGTAATAAAATAAAACCTTTTCCCGTTTTATCTGATTCTCAGGGTCTTGACAATGTTCATAAACAGAGAGTTGCTGAAGTGCTGAATGACCCTGAGAGCATAGAGAAAAGGCGCAGCCGAGAAAGCCTCAATGTTGATGTGGTAAAATACGAGAGTGGTCCTGATGGAGGCGAGGAAGTGAGTATGAGCGTAGAATGGAATGGGGTAAGTACAGTACACAGTTGAAGAAAACAGTGTAGATAAATTATCGCCATAACAAATGCAGTTGTCCATTCACCATCTTATTGCTTGCTCAGTAGTTTCTTGTTTGATCTACTTTGTATTTTGTAATTTTATGGAACAACTAAGAAATAAAGAACATTATCGTGCTTTTTCATAAGATCTTATAAAAATTTATATTTTTAAATTTTAAAACATCCTTTCTGTTGTTGTCCTAAATGGTAAAATTTCTTGAAGAATTCCAAGCAGTGGTATTTAACTCTGATATGTTTAATGCTGATTGAGTGTCCTGGTTATGGTCTGGTGTATAATTGCTTATCAGTGGTTTCTTTTTACTGGTAGAAATATCTGGCAATTAACTAACTTTTGCTTTTGTCCTTTTGACGTCACGTTTGCCCACAGTTTAAATGTTTCTTCAAAAATGCTGCCACTGCATCTGTTGGAATAGAAAAGAATACTTGCTATGGAGATGCATTAGTGTGTTGGTGGTTTTAAAGTAAATCAAATCAATTAGTCTAAAATAATTCCAATCTCCTCCTTACCCAACTTGCTAGAGGAAACAACCTATCTTTTCAAGCTGATCTACGGTCTATTTTAGTATGCAGTGCCATTACATAACAACACGATAGTAGATTCACGTTTTTAAAGTGAAATGTTACTATCACTCTCCTGCAGTAAAACTTGACTGAAGGCTTACTCCCATTTGTGATCTCTGGCTTCAATGTATAAAGAGTGTCATAAAGTGAAAACACATATTTGACATGATTAAATCTGCATTTTTCTGCCCGTTATTTTACTTTATTTGAAAGGCAGCGCAAGCTTTCAGTTATTGATCTGGTTTATTTAGTAGTTTGCTTCTGTCACCAGCTTTTCCATGCCTTATCCCATTGCTGGCAATGGGATATACATTGCACTGGAAGCCAACTCCCAGCTGTAGTTCTGCTTAAAATATTCTGCTAGATTTCCAAAGTGGTATATTTACCCACTTTTGCTTTTTGGGAGGGGAAGTAGCCTACTTTGCAGTACAGAGTATTCTGAAGTTTCATTTCTGATACAGTAGCTGTTACGATTTTAGCCACTTGTGATGAAGTTTTGAATTCCAAAGAAATCCTTGACTAAAACTTACACTGGTCTGTTTTAATGGAGAATGTTCTTTCCATCTCTGCTTTTGTCTCCTTATAACTGTTCTCTTGGCATTGCTGTTCTCAGTGCCAAGACAGTCAATCAGCATCTATTGTGAATAATACTGCATCATTAATAAACCCAAAGTAAGGTTGGATAACTCCTTTTTATTCTAATTTTGCCCATTCAGCGTTAGAACTGTGTACTGTACTCCTCCCTTTATTTCTGCTGTACTTTGCATGACTGTGTGTTCTAAATTGATAAAACTTTTTGTTATTAATTAAGCAAGCATGCAGGTTTTGGATTGAAAAGGCCTTCTGGAAAAACAATAGACAGTATTTCTAGGTCCATATTTGAATGAAACTCTGATAAAATTGGTCTGAAAAACTAAATTTTGACCTGTTAAGGCAATCTAACTCATAATTTTTTACTTTATTCTGGTCTTCAGGATTTACAGTTTTTTTTTTTTCTCCCTCCTGTTTAGAGAAGTTATTGCATGTTTTTGCATTAAGTGGGCCACTCTCTCTCCCTCCACCCTGCTAGCGTTTCTATCTCGGCGCTGTTCTTCCCTGTACTTACATGGTGCAGATTGTGTTTCCTCTTGTGTTTCCTCCAGACAAAATATTCTGATTCACAAAGTATAGTAGAATTTTTATCAGGCAGTTTCTTCTGTCTGCGAAGCCTGAAGGAAAACCTGCCTTTTCCATTTAAATTCTGAGGTGCTGAAGCTGCCTTATGATCCTGTCTGTCAGAGAGAATAGGTAGAGCGTGTAGAGCAACAAACCTCACTGAAAAACTTTTGCTGAAGGAGGATATTGTAATTAAGTAACTTCCCTAGGTGCTATAATTCCTGTAAGCATGGTACACTTTGTAATGTCTTACAAAAAGAACTAAAATACTTGTTGAAGGAAATCTGTCATTAAGTAGTAAAATGGGCATTCTAATTGAGGTTGTGTAGTGTCTGTTTACATGTTTCTTATGAAGTCCATCCCTTAAAGTTCACATATTTCAGAATGCAAAAAATACTTTGTCGTAAAAATTGAAATTATAAATTTGGAAAATTGCCCTTGTAAATATTTTACATCGTTTTTCACCTTGAGTTTTTTATCCCCTTTCATCTTTTATATAAAAAAGAATGAAAATGGAGATATGCAACTTGTGATTTTTTGCAGCCTGTTTGAGGACAGTTAAACGACTTGATATGAACAGATTTACTTCAATGTAGTGTGAGGAAATATCTTTGATTATTCTAACCTATATACTTCAAACAGACAAGGTTTTGGGTACACAAGTCTATTTTTAGGTGTGAATTTTTAGGTTTTAGTTTTAGGTGTGAACAAATGTCAGTACCATATAATAGCTGAGAAGAGTTGCTCTTTGTTTAATTGAAAGTGTCAGACAGTCGGAGAGGCAATATAGTTGATAGCTACAGAGTAAAGGAGGTGGTGATGGTGGGGAGGGACTGGGCAAGGCAGCAAGGTTATTTTTATTCCCTGAGTGAAATAAAAATTGACAATTATAATTTGCCATTAAAATGCATATCATGTTTTTTGGGGGGTGTACACTAGTTTTTTGGGGGGGTTTTTTGTTTGTTTTTTAAGTCTATCCTAAGCTCATGCTTTGAAGGTGTTTTGTAAATCATGCAGTCAGTGTTTAACTTGGAAGTCTGGTACTTTTATTTCAGATTTGAAGACAAAGTGCCCAAAAGGTTGTCTGCTTTATCTGAATGTGCTAGTTAGCATAGTAAAAGTCATAATCAGTACCTGTCTTGCCATATTCGTTGGACCATTATGATTATAACAGTACCACTGCTTTAAGACCATAAGGAATCATTGGACTTTTTATCGATACAATAATTCTAATTACAATTTAGACTTCAATTTAATACAATTCCTTATTTCAAAATGTAAACAATGTATGCCGTTTAGTTTGAAACACAAATACCCTTTGATTAGATTTTAATCTTCAAATCACTAGTAGCAAGGCATTTTGCCACTTCAAAGAACAAATTTAATTCCAGTTCATTCTAGTTGCTGTAGGTAAAGGCTCTAAAAACAGAACTCTTAAGAATATCCGTAATGATCTCTGTACCTGCACTGAGAATGGAAAGTTTGTGCATTGAACCGCAACTGATTTGTACAGGTGGCTGCTTTTGGCTGCCTGACTACACTAGGGAAAGTCGAAAAGCTTCTGTATGGATTTTATTTTATATAAATATATAAATATATATATATACACATACACAGACACACACCGTGTGTGTAAATATATATATCCACGCGTGTGTATGTGTGTATTTGTGTTTTAACAAATATTAATGAGACTAAATTTGACAGTTCCATGGATATTATTTCCTTAAAGGAATGAACAGAATTTTGTCTGGAGGTTAGGTGGAGACCTCTTTCCTTTTACAGGTTTTGTTGGAGAAAAATTCCTGACAGAAGTTAAAGCTGAAATGAGTGCACCTTGCTCTGTTCCTTTCTTCTTTCTTTTTCCCCCTTTATTTTTACTTTTATGTTAGGGTAGACCAGAAAAAAAAATAATTTCTCCATACGCAAAATGTATTTATAGTAGTAAAGCTCTCCCTTGTTAAAAATAGTTTTTATTTTGTAGAAATTCTAATTTAAAGAATATACAGCACCTTTCATGCCATTTTGGATGTTACATGTTAGTGAAGTAGGCTAAACTCTACAAACATATACCTTATGGTAATTGCAATAGCCTGGACTTTGTGTTTAAGTGAAGTCCAAATACTTGCTCTGTAAAAATTGGTTTTGAACACGACCTAGAAATACTGTAAACGTAACTGTTCAAAGTTGAAAACTGTTGAATTTTTCCCAACAGTTTCATTCAGTTTTTCTCTCTCCATTTCTGTCTGACAGGCCTAGATGCCTTTTGTGATTCTTATACTGTCTCCTGCATGACGGGCGTGCACCATCTTCAAGCTTTAACTTCTCTCTTCAGTACTGACTGCTGTGTTTTAGCAAATCCCTTAAGATCCTTGTCAGAGCTACACTTCCTTGTAAACTGGCCATTCCTTCAGTGCTGGTGTCTTTTTGGTTTTCTCTTTCTGTACATGTGTAGCTTTGCCAGATATGTATTTAGTCATACAAAATGTTACTACAACCACTTGCTGTGTAATGCATAGGTAAAAAGTAACAATGAACTTTATAAGTAGCTGTTCACTATGGAAAAAAAAAGGTAGTTAAAAGTATCACACAAGGTATTGTTGAAATGGCATGACGGTGATCTTTACAGGAGGAAAAAAAAGCAAAACAAAAAACATAAACGTAAGGCATGTACTTCAAGTGCTTTAAAATGTATTTAGAGAGCTATTACATGGTTAACATCAATATGGAACTCTGGATGTCTTCACTTATGATTATCCTAAAGTAGCATTGCTGTTTAGTCTTTGTGTGAAATTTTGGCAATTATGCTTTTCTCTACTAATCTTGGTGTTCAGTGATTTGTGTATTTGTCTTTCTAACTTCTAATAAACTCACTCCAACTCAGGTGTCTGTCTCTGTCTGCTTAGTAGTACTTTACTTTCTCCTTTTACAGTTCTTCCTTTCATAATCACCTAGGATTTCTTAAAGTAGCAGGTGGTCACTTCTAATCTTACTAAACTGTTTAAGAGTTTAAAAAAAAAAAAAAATTAATGGAATTGTGCTCAGCTGGAAATTTCTGTGATCAGTACAGCAGCATAAACATGAACGCAATGTACCAAAAATTGTCGTTTCATCATCTTTTACCTTTTCTTTCAGTGGTGAAAGTTAAAATGATGAAAAGGAATTTAAGCATATTTGTTTCTGATCAGAACTGTTTGGTTTAAAAATTTTAGGATTAAACAAACGTTTTCAAATAATGCAGATGTGTAGCCAAAATAAAACAATTTTGTCCTTAGACTCACTCGATGGAATGCTTTTGCTTGGGGCTCGTACTCTGTTAAGCTTGGTGCACCCATGTGAAAGGTAACGCGGTGATGGTGAACTGTGTAATACGCTGCGGGCTTTTTCTCCTATGAATCATGGCTTGAGCATGCCCTCACATTTCTGAAATAGTTGTAACAGTTTCACAGAAGCAGTGATTTTGTTAAAATAGCAGCAATCATCTTGGTAAAGTTGCATCTATATGGTATTTTTGTGTTTGGGTAATTGTACCAAACCTGTATTAATAGCAGTAACAAATATTGTGATCAGTTGAATGTTTTTCACCCAGGCTTGGGGGAGGGCAACAAACTCTTGCAGTTTCACATTTCTTCAATTTTTTTCAGGATGGCACTGGATCTCTAAAACGCAGTGGTTCCTTTAGCAAACTCCGTGCTTCCATTAGACGCAGCAGTGAGAAGCTGGTTAGAAAGCTGAAGGGAGGAAGTTCACGAGACAGTGAACCAAAGAACCCGGGGTAATTATCTGTTCTTAGCTGTGCTGGTTTGCCCTTTCTGGTTTGGTCTTTGCGCCCTGCCGTAGCCTAGCGTGCTACCTGGGGCAGTGCGCCCTTCTCTGCTGAGCTGTCTGCGTGCGTCGTATAGAATTCTATTGGACGAGGAACTTCACGTCTTAAAGAAAAATAGAAAATAATTTCTTAAGCATATGATGGAAGTTCTTTAACATCTGAGGAATTATATTTGCTTTTAAGAATTAACTCAGTTTTTTTTTCTTCTTACCGCTCTAGCCGTTTTAAGAATAAAAAAGTAGTACCGATAAATATCGTAGTACTGATAAATGTTAATGAATGGCAAAATTCTCCTTTTCACGCAGGAGTGAAACATGGTAAATGTTACTTATATTTACAATAAAAGTTTGAATTTAGTAAATCCAGTAAATGACTAACCTTCTTGATGTAGCTGAGTGATTTGCATGTTGCTGTGAGCAACAGGCAGATGTGAGCAAAAGAGGTTTACTGACTTGAGCCCTTCTTATTTTGTAATACCGAAAAACCCAGATTTTGTAGAGCAGAGGCAAACATTGAAAAGCTTCAAACTGGTTGTGCACATTTAGTAATGTTTTGGCCTTTAAAGTCGGTGGCAAAAATTCTATTTTTAGTGAGTCAGGCTTCTCACCCTGTCCTATTCACCATGCGATTATGGCTCTGAGTGCATGCCATGTTTCCAATAAGTGCAAAACGAAACTCATCATTTATTGATTGCTTTAGACAAGTTGAAATATTAAACTGTGGTATTCTTTCAAAATTTCACTTGATTATACTGCTTCCCCCACCCCCCCCCCCAAAAAAAAAAAAAAAACACCTGCTATCATTTTTACCTTTCTTTGGTGCTCGCTGTGGAAAACTGGAACTCGTTTAGTTGACGGGATGCTGTTTGACAATGTGAATTATGTTTTAAAGCAATTAAATTTGAGAACTTGGATTAACTTCTACGGAGTGAATGAATCTGTATGTCATACAGTAAAAGATGGTGATGCTAACACCTGAGACAGTGTTATGGAGGCAGGTTCTCTGTGTATTTTGTTAGCACTCCAATGAAGTTTTACCTTAGTGTTTTTTATGTGGTTGTAAAACATCATGTACAGCCGCAATATGTATACATGTGTGATTACTCTTCAGACTTTCCAACTCTTCCTCAAATACCCGTTGCAACTTTAGCATGATCTGATTTTTTTTTTTTTCAATTTTTAAGTAAGTAATTTTTAAGTAAGTTTTCACTCTTTTCTGCCAGAGACATTATGTTGAAGGGACTGAATCAAATTCAAGGTCAAAACTCACTTTGCATTTATTGATAAATAATTAAAAGCTGCCTCTGAGATGATAGATTGGGATTAAGTGGCAAAGAAAATATAATCGGAACTAAGAAGTGTGAAAATGTAGAATGATCTAGGGAAAGCAAGCAAATGCAAGCCAAATTGGAAAAAAAAAAAAAAAAGAAATTTCCTTCTTCTAGTTTTAAGTATTAGAATTTTATACTTTGTTTTTCTGATTTACTCGGTTTTGTCTAGAGGTCATACATACATCAAAGTGCAGGTGTATATTCTTGCATAAACATATGTGTATACTGATAGCTGATTTTTGCTTTCCTCCACCTTTTTGTGAGATGTAGAAAGGCTTTTGGTTTCCTAAAAGCCAGGACTGTTTTATAGGGCTATCTTTTCTGCAGGTAAAGTAACTACATGATTATAGATGTAGAAAACCATGCGTATGTATAATTGAAGACGTTTGGCTTTGCAGAGTCTTGTAAAATGCCTCTGCTTGTTTATTGTTTGTACTTCTGTAGCGTTACTTGAATAGCGTAAATGTAATCTACCCACGTTAACGTTAATTATATTGTGGCGTCTGCATCACCAGATAATGATACTTCTTCAAATGAAGACATAACTGTGAAACAAATGTGAAAAGATACCTATATTATTCTTGTTTCCCTTGTTGAGAAAAAGTTATTTTGGGTTTTTTGAGTGACTAATCAGAGGAAATTCAGTAGTTACTTTGATTAAAAAAAAATTTTTTTAACTCATTAGCATCTTTTCAGAAACAGTTATTTTAGATGTCATTGTAGTTCTCAAAGAAATGAATCTTAAAATTTGCGATAAGAGGGTTGTGTTGATAGGCTTTTATGTAGATATGTATGTTGAGTGTACAAGACAATAAATATTACATTCTGTTTGTAAGATGTAGAAACTTTATTAATTCTCAATTCTACTTGCGTAGCCATTAATTAAAAACAACAGTACGCCGGGTATTAAAGACTGACTTTGCAACTCATGAAGGAGTAGTTCATAGTTTGCACATAATGATATTTTGTACCTAATGATATTTTGACAAGTCATTTTGATTTTCTGAAGAAACTTGCTAAATGAATTAGTATTTTATCTGCTTCTGAGTTGAATAAAAAAGGGGGGAGTATCCAGTTTTTATTATGCATACCTTTGATTTTAGTGTGTTTAATAAGCTGAATACTGCAGGACTGCCACAGCATACATAGAAATCATTTTTTGTATCAAGTCATCTGCTCTAGCAGAAGACTTATGTGCCTCCCCTCTTATCAGTATGTCTCTACGTTCCCTGCCTGTATCTCTGAAGGTTGCTTTATTTTGAAATGTGTTTATGTCCGTTGCTTATTCTACACTTCTATAGATAGCGTTTGACAACGCTGGTATGATTCTAAATGAGACATACTCACATAGAAATACATTAATATCACAGTGTGAACAAAAGAGTTTTCATATTGCTGTTTGAGATAGAAGGTTGAAGAGAACAAAAAGGAACACTCATCAGTGAAATTTTCTTTAAAAAAATGCAGAAGCCTTTTAACAAAATCGGAATAGATCTCTTTAAGAACTGTTATTTGAACGTACAGTACCTGAAGCTTGATATCAATTCTTTGATTATTCATCTTATTTCAAAATTTCAGTTCAGTAATCAGTTAGCTTTGCCTGGTGGTTGTTAAAGATTTGACTTCCTAGTTCTAAAAATTTGATCACAGAACAGTACAAATTTGTAATAAAAATTAAAAAGTTGTTATTACTGTTATTATGCACTTGGAAAGACAATGCATGTGTTCTTGCTTTTTCTGCAATCAAGTTTCTAACATGGAGGGAAGTAAATTTGCCAGATCAAACTTCTTACGTTGACTTCAAAAAAAAAAAAAAAAAAAAAAAGGCTAGAATCGGGCATTTTTTTTTGTTAGCATTTCAAGGGTCTAAAAATTTTATGTAAATTTGTATCTATGGATTTTCTGTTTCCCTGGAGTTTTTTCCATAAGCCTTTATGCTCTTTTTGAGGAGAGTTGGGTTTTTTGTGATGTTTTGTACGTGTTTTGCAGATTAACTTACTTTGACTGTCATATATCACCTCTGTTGTATACGTTCCTTGAAAAAATGAGAGGCATATACCGTGCATGATTCATTGCTTCTGTGTTTCTAACACTTACGTCAAATATTTTGAACTGTGTGCATTCTGTCTTTTGAAACATTCAGACTAAATGCTAGGAAAAAATAGTAAGCTTATGTTTTGTAGCCGCATATATGCGTAGTATGCATTGCCTGCATTCGGTAGTGCTGAGGTTCGTTATTCTGCTAAGCCTTTGTTCTATGAAAGCGTTTAAAAGACGTGCTTGACTCTGACTATTAGTAGTCTTGCTTCAGTGGAAGTAAAGACAGGTTAATATCTAATGTGATCTGTACGGATAAACCGTTCCGCATAACTGGAAGGCACAGGAGACTTTACATAGGCCAGTTGTCTGTACAACTGTAGGGGACAATGCAGGATTAGGGCCTCATGTTGTGAGTGGTTCATCAAATGTATATTCAAAGTCCTCATTTAGAAGCTTATAAGTCATTAAAGAGCTAGTGAAAAATGACAGGCAAAAACTATCACTGTGTTCTGGGCAGTGTCTGATGTCCTCTACTCTAATGTAGCTGTACGTTCATACTGTATTCACTGAAGTGAAAGGATGCTTAAGACTAATCTTGAATTTCATTATACACACTTTAAAATATTTTAAACATTGTGTATGTTTGAGTAAATGTAGATGAAATAGCCATTATTAATCCTCATCTCAAACACTTAATAGGTATTACTGTTAATGCAGTGATATTTTGATTATCAACAGTTCCTGTCCAGAGGATTACATTGATTTTTTTTTTCCCCCCCCTCCCCATCTGTTGCTTTGAAAACAGTATTTTAGGGTTGCTGTTGCCACTGCCTGAAGCATAGTACAGCCACGTGCTTGACCAAAGTTAAGAGCAGTAACCATCTTGTAGCCCTTTACTTTGAAATGCTTAAAATAAAAGATTTCAAAATGCTTTTTGAAAAGATTTTGGAGATTACATAGATGGATCAGGCAGAAAGTACTAAACTAATGTTTGTTATAGATCTTGCATGTTAAATGCTGCCTACATGACAAATGTATTCATGTCTCACAAATTTCTCCTAACCTGTCTGAATATTTTGGTGCTTTGTATAAGAAGTTGCATAAACCAATAATGAGAATTAGCTAATTATAAATTAATACAAGTCACTATATTAATTTGATGTGCTGTAAAAATTGGAATTATATTTTGAATTGAAATTAAATCAATTGCATGAAGTGCTTAAACTCTGAGGAGCTTGTTATTAGTTTTATATGTAAGTTAGAACCGAGTGAAGAATGTGCACATTTTTATAATTATCTTAACAGGTATCCCTTGATCAGTTTTGGGGCACTGTTAAAACTCCCTTAAATATGCATTGATCGTTGTTATACTTGTGTTTTTGAGATGTTAGTTTTCAGCTATTCTGATTGGTTTATCCTTGCATGTTCACTGTCCTGGTTGCAGCATGAAGCGTGCCAGTTCTCTGAATGTTCTTAACATGGGTGGCAAGGCTACTGAAGATCATTTTCAAGTAAGAAGCCCTACAATATTCTTGCACAAATAAATATCCTCAGTAGGATTTGGGATAAAAAGAGCATAATAAATAGTAAAACAACAAGCTCCTAGTGATTAAGATCCCGGTTCAGTAAGGTGTTTTAAGCATATGCTTAAGACGTTCAGTGATGATTTCATGCATTATGCTTATTTTTAAGCAAGTGCTTAAGTCCAGTCAATAAGCAGCAGGTGGCTTTTATGATATCAAGCAGACTCTGGCCTGGGACCCTCTAACTATTACAATGGATATGAAACTTCTGGAATCTTACGGTCTTGTCAACACCATAATTAAAAAAAAAAAAACAAAAAAAAACCCAAAACCCAAGAACTTTTAAAGCTCATTTATTAAGTATTTTTGACTTGAGCAGCTTTATTGCAAAGGGCCCAGTCATCTCAACTGCTGTATGTTCCCAAATTCCCTTTAAATGCAAGTGCCCTTTTTTTCTGAGGTTGCTCAGGAATAGGCTCTAGAAGTTCACCTGATCTGTTATGCTTCTGCTAAAATACAAACGTTTTATTTTGCCTAACTGTATGTGGTGTGCCCGTCTTGCTACTTCTTGTTTTTTTTACCTAACAAGTCACTCTTTTGTATATTGTCAAGATAAGCTAGTAATGTTTTGTGTTCTAAACAGTGTTGTGCATTTTACTAACACGCTAACTGCAACTAATTTTAGGGAGATTTAACCGCTTCAGTATTAACAAAACTGTACATGAGGATCTTCATCGCTATTTGCCATAAAGTAGTAAGAAATCCCAAACTGTGTGACTCTTGTTTTACTGTTGAGCAGCATAAAGGTGTCTTAACTCTATTATCTCTACTGAGCATATTGCAGAATCTTCAGCGGTATGAAATGGATGCAAAATTTTGCTTAGAGTGAACCTCACCCAAAAAAATCCACCAGGGTAAAGCATAATTCTTTATAGCAACAGTGCTAAGATTTTTGAATTGTCGTGCCCTGGGTGCCATTAAATTGGATTGTCAGTATATAATTGAAGTTACTTCCAGGAGAGGTATTTATGATGTGCATAAACTGATATTAAAATTAGTAATCATTTTTTTGTAAACTTCATAGTTCACCCACTATGGACAGTCCTTCAGTTCCCATAGGTCAGCAGTTGTACTTCTGGTAAGATTTGGGTTAGGATTGTAATGGGTGTATATATTGAGATCTGTTTAGCATTGTTAGTTAAAAGTGGGGAAATTTTTAGTTAAATTTTTATCAAACTATGGAAAAACGTCCCTCACCCAATATGAACAAACAAGGCTGGTTTTCTGTATTTCCTCAGATTTGTTTCTTCCTAACTTTTTAAAGTTAATATATTTTTTTTTTGCTTGAACTATTTGGATAACTGCATAATTTTTTTTTCCTTCACACAGGAACGAAATAATTGTCTGACAGACTCGAGAGCTCTGAGTGTCAGTCATACTGATTTGGCGCATTGAGATTCTTGGACAGAAGCTAGCTAAAATTCCTTTGTGAATAAAGAAGCACTGAGACCTTCAAAGCTTTGGTTCCTCATCATTATGTATAGGAACATCTAGTTTGTAGATTTTTGGGGGGGGGGGGCAATGGACTGCTGTTTTTACTTTTCTAATCAGTGACAATTTTAAATAGAGCATTAGTGAGTATTTTCCTCTAAAGAGAAACTATATAAATATTGCTCATTGCACTGCTCCCATCCATGCTACTTATGTTGGTTTGATAGATCCGACTATTATTACAACAGCCAAAAACTTGTAAAAATACAAATGCATTTAAAGCATACCAAAATGGAGAGATGTTTGAAAATGCAGACGAAATGTGTAACAGTAAATATATACAGTGCTGGAATCAGAAAAGGATAAATTATGTGCATTACTGTATAAATTCAGATTCAGCATACTGTAGTGGTGGGGCTTTTCTTTGCACCACTGATTATTTAATGTTAAGAGACCATATCTGGCAAAACAGCACTTGGTTATTGGCTTACTTAACCACTAGATTGAGCTGTTAAATTTATTTAAAAAAAAAAAAAAGATGATGATGGTTGGGGTTACCTTATGTTTAAACGGCATGGATAGCAATACCTGTGACCATAAATTTGGTATTTGTTGCTATAAGTTTTTAGGGCACAATAATCAATGGAAATAGGACAGTTATTGTTGATCAGGACAAATGGAAAATGTTTTGACCTTTGTCTTCTATGGTTGAAGAACACTGAAGCGTCGGACTGCAACTGTCCTAGATCCGCTGCTCTTGCTGTTAGGGAAACCTCAAGCCTCAGGTTGATTCTTTCCTTCCTTGTCCACTGGAATTCACAGTCCCATCCTCTGCATGCAGAGAGTTGCTCCAGCATTTACGCTGATCCCAAATCCTGCCTTTCTTCATAATAGCTGATGACAGCAGAAGCAAGTGAAGCAGGTGACTGCAAGCTCAGCTGTTATACTGTGGAGTAGCTGCAGTGCAGAGGACCACTCAGATCTTAAGGGCCCCAGTGGAAGCACTAGATGGCGGTATGTGGCAAGCAACATGTTTGACCACACATCCATGTTAAATCTTCTTACAGCTAATATATATGCTGTCTGTATACAGGACTGCTGCTGGAACTAAGTATGTATTTTTAAATGTTTTATAGACACTAGTATTTCCTTTTGTTTTTCTGTAAAGCTTGTATTTTTTTTCATCTTCTGTAAAAACTCCATGTGAAGTTGGATGAGAAAGTAAAAAAAAAAAAAAAAAAAGAAAGAAAAAAGTGTGTGTAGAAATATATTTGTGATCATAGTTGTGTCGTTGGAAAATGCAAAACAAAATTGACTTTGGGAAGAGCTGGAATATTCATCCAAGGTTAGCACCAACGGAAGGAGGAAAAACAAAAGAACACAAACAAGTTTTAGTATTTGAATAGGCTGTGAAGAAGTCCTTAGAACTAGTACTTCTTAGAAGTATATGACTGGTTTTGCATCTGGTTTTAAACTGTTACAGTAACTGATGCAAAAAGTTGTATCTGTAATGCACTTGACTATGTTTACTAGGAGGTACCTTATTAGCATCTCTTTAAAGAAAGTTGCGTATGGTATACCTGCTATAAAGAACGTTTGGAAATGGTGAGATATGATGCTGCTAATATGTAGAAGTTTTAGCACAGAGTAGTGCAATTCATTAATGAATTTGAGCAAGAACAAATTGTTGCTCTGTTATCTTAACGATATATGCTCATTTTATGTAAACTCTTGAATTTTAATCTTTTATTAAAGAGCTTATATATATATATATATATAAATATATTAAATATATATTTCTGTTTTTTTTAATTTGGGTTGTTTTTTTCCAGCAAAACATATTATATGCACCCACTGGTTCTCTGCATAAAGCCTGACTGAAGTAACTTTATACAGAGAACTATTCGTGTAGTTGCCAAGCCAGGAGGGTATCTGTCCCTAATCGACAGGCAGGACTGCAGGAGGACTCTACCACAATTGTTGCGTCGAAGTCTTCCTTCCTAGACAGGAAAGCTATTTTGGACACAGAGCTCACTTTGGTAGTAGAGAATTAGTTATATTGAAGAACTTGTTTTCCATCTTTCCAATTCTAAGGAAAATGTTTTTGCAGCCTCTCAAAAAAAACTGGAACTTGTATAAATAGAAATAAAATATTTAACCTTGTCAGACTAGCATAAACATTTTTAAAATACAAGAGTATGGTATGTTGATTGTGATAGTTAGCATGTTTTCTCATTTAGGGTTTAAAATAGCTTCTGTAGTTGGTGCATTACTAGTACTGTGCTTTTCAAGACCTGAAGCCCTTATACAGTGTTTCAAAGTGTATTGGAAGATGAATCTTAAGTTGTTGGCCTACTGCTTGTTAAACAATTCCTATATTTAAAAGATATTAAATTTTTCAGAGAAGAAATACAAAATTCAAGACTGTTCTCTAATATATGGATCCTCAAGGGTGGTGGCCAAATAACTTATAATCAATCTTACGGTTATGACCCAGTGTGCTATTTGCAGTCTGAGAGAAACTTTGTAAAGTATGAAAACAAATTTAAGGTTAAGCTTCCTTGTGTTCAAATCGTGAATTAATTACTGTATGGTTGTGGTTTGTATATATTTAAATTACAGGTAGGCTTCTCAGTGGGCTTTTATTTAAGATTTTCTTCCGGAATTCCCTCTGTTCCACTTGCAGCTAACAGTTTGCATAGATTGTAAAACTGAAATGGCTAACTGACTTTAATTCTTAGATGTCTTCTGTAACAAACAAAAAAGTCATGGTTCTGATAAAACAAAAGACTGGTAAAGACCTTCAGAATTGACAGATCTTGTTAGGGAAGCTGCAAGCCTCAGTAGCAATATCTTGTTGTTAATCTACCATGTTTTTCTCTGTTCAGAACAGTAGGCATCAACTTTATTAAAAAGGTAATGACATCTTCATATTAAGCCAGTTCCTGTAGAGTCTCCCTCTGTTAATAGTGGCGAGTCTTTTCTGGAGTGTACAGTCAGCGAGACTCGCGTGTAGGAAGAATCATACGTGAATTGTTACTGATAGAGAGGTAGGTGCCTGTTTTCCCTTTTATCCGTCTGGTTGTGCACTAGTTTTTAGCAATATTGTCAATATTTGTTTTTGAGTTTAGAGCTTATTAAATAGACAAGTGTTTCATCTTACAATAACAATTTGCTCCTCTTCTAGAGGAATAACTGAGCTAATGCTGTAATATTTATATCATAGCACCATGATGATAGAAGATAGCAGTTAATGGAGTGAAATAACCACTGGACATGATTTCTAGAGTTTGTGTCTTTGTTTAAAAACAAAACAAAACAAACCTCAAAGCCCTCCTGAACGGTAGTAATTTAAAATGGTTTCAAGCTTGAGAAGTATTTGTGGTTAAATGATATAGTTTGATTCCAGCAATTTAGAAAATAGTGTGGTTGTGTTGTGAATGTAAAGCAAAAGGGATATGCAGTGCTTCATCTAAGGTGTGTTTACAATACTTGATAAGTTCAAGTTAATTTAGCTTTCATTATGCAGGTCACATATTTTGTCCGAAAGCTGCTAAGAGAATTGCATTTTTGGTAATAATGTCAGCCTGTACTGAGAGAACAAATGTTAGAAAGATGTGATGTGAAGTTTACAGTTCTATTGTAATGACTTTACATTATCACAGATGTACTTTTAAAAGGTATGGGTATAAATGTTGGCTCTTAAAAATTAATTTGAGGGAAATTTTGAAAATCGATGCTTGATTATTTCAAATTATTTACAACAGTCTCAGTATGTTGAATAGTTAAGATCAATAATTTAAAAAAAACAGAAGCCCACAGCAGCAAAGCAAAAAAAAAAAAAAAAACCCACTGTGTCACCGTCTAGTTGAGTTCAGAACATCCCAGTTTTTGAGAAAATAAAGGTTTATTCTGATAGTGAAGTAGCAAAATGAGTTTATATTCTGTTCTTTGGTTATGGCTGCTTTTGAATAAGAAGTATTTAGAGAATTATAGCTGAAGTTAATTTAACACTCCAGCTACATCTAAAAGCTCTTCAAGCTACTTTAGGGCTGTACAGGCATATGCAGTGAAGTTAAAATAGACTAAAAATAGTATATAGTGTGGAATATGCATAATAAAATGCTTTTAGAACAAGAGCAATCCTTAGGCTCTCTGTATTCATTCATCAGATGCAGTCAAGTCACAATTCAAGCGTGGAAAGTTGAGTCTTCAATTTAAATCATGTAAAAGTGTTTGTTATACTGTGGTGTTTGTAGGCTGTAATATAATTAAACCGTGGAGCTTGGATTCTATGCAATCAGTAATATTTTGTGTTTTCTGGGACAAGGTTTAAACAAAAAAAAATCCAACACAACCAGCAAACCATCTTTTAGTAATGTCAATTTATCCTTCTTGAAAAATGGATTTTTTTAAGATATGTGAATTTCATGTTTGATTTAAAAAAAAAAAACAAAAAAAAAAACCTTCCACACTTGTCTCTAACATGCTGCAGTTTGATTTCCGTGTGTATTTACTGTTTCTCACAGCTATGAAAGAAACAGAATTCAGAGTTTACCTGTTTGTTCTTACCCCATAAACTTTGAAAATAAATTTCCAGAAATGTTTCTTGTAACCAAATAGTAGTAATTCTCAGTGATTCAATCAAGGAACTTGTAATGAAATTAAACTTGATCTGTTTTACTCCGTTTTGTTAATACTTCAGTTGTGTAAATTCTTTCTCTCTGCAGAAAAAAACTTGGTTTTACCATTTTACTTTTCAAAAGCAGGGTTTCCAGAACTGCATATCATGTTTCTGCTGAAAAAGGCCTCCTTTCTTTTGTTTTTTTTTTTGTTACATTACAGAGCTGTAGATTAATATGAAGGTGTTTAAAAGTTTCTAAAGTGTCACTTAGCATTTATTTTTGATGTGTCGAAAATAAACAGTTTTACAGGATAAAGATGGGTTGGGTATACTTACACATTCTAGAATGTAAATCTTGCATGTAAAAATTACTTATTTGGATTTTTCTTGTATAAAAGCAAATTTCAGTTGTAAAATCCAAAGATGAATAAAGCTGTATAAAGGGAAGGTTTGTAAATAGAGTGCATTTATTACTTAAAACTACTACCGCAAAAGCGGTGGTTTTAAAATGGAGAGTGTTTTAACACTTGTTGATGCAAGACTTTGCACAGGGCAGGTGCTTTTCAACATAACTTGGGCCATTCACTCTTCATGGGTTCATACACTTACTTCCCGAGTTTATCTCAGGAAAGGGATAGACTCTAAATTATTTTCAGTAAAACTGCAGATGAAAATTCAGCTAGTGGATGGACTGTGGCACTATAAATTTGGGGGGGGTCTATTATGTTCTAGAGATTCAGGTTTTGTGTGATGATATACTGGGAAATGTACTGCAAAGTGTTCTAACACAGATTCAGGAATGCAGCTGCAGAGTCAAATGTGGACCAAAATGGACAATGACAAGGATTTGCTCAAGTAAGATATTATTCAAATCGGTTAGTGTTTCTCCCTCCCCCTCCCCCCCATCATTAAGTAAACTGAGACTTAATAGAATTAACTGTGGTTTCTTAATGCTTCTGTCTCATTCCAGAGAGCAGTGAGGCTTCAAACAGAGCTACCACACTATTGCAAAACTGAGACACAAGACACATCACGAAGGGAAAACAGAGTGGCTCATAATGAGGCAACCCCTAGGGATCCTGGCTTGGGCTTTAATGAGGCACTGTAATAGGAATCAGCCAATGCATTCTTACACATTCATAAATCAGCTACAGCCACAGGTGCCTTTTTTTTTTTTTTTAAAGAATTATTATTATGGTAGGATGTGCAACATACTGTTTAAAAGTCCTTGTCCCAGATAAATAGGCCAGGAAGGGAAGACAGTAATGTGAGTTACCAATGCTGCATTTGTTTCTCTTCATTAAAATTTGTTTCAAGGAGGGATGGACCATACAGAGGTACCCAAGGCTCTGAGTTTCAGCAAGCTCACTTCTTCCTTAGACGGAGTACACAGAACGACTTCTAATTTTTATGGTTGGATTTTATTTAAAAAACATACGACACCATGGTCATTTTTGAATACGCAGAGCTGAACAAGACATTTTAAAAAAGGGCTTTAAAGCCAATTTCAGTTTATGCTATTGCACAAGATCTTTACACAACAGACAGGGTCTCAGGAGTCCTGCTTGGAGTTTCCTTCTTTCAGTGCCAAGGCTTGCTTTATCTCTTCTTCTGAAGAACTTCCCTGAGGCAGTCATGCTGTCCATCTCATCTTATGCCTCACTTCTTTGCATCATACTCGGTTGTCCTTGGAGGAGTCTGCTGTCAGGGAGTTCCAGCTGACTTATGTAACAGCTGGTCAAAACTTCCTTTCTGCTGCTCAGCTGTGTGCTTTGACAAGGCACAGATCCAGCCTTCAGGATTATTACTAGGGCATGGGGAAGGGAAGATTTCTACCAGAAAATGATTGCTTCATTAACGTGATGTCCTTGACAAATGTAAAAGGTACAATTCTGGACTTCTGGTATTGAGGGAAGATGCTCAAGCTTTAACCATGGACTGGAACCTCACACTACTTAGCTTTAGGAATACAGAACCAGCCCCCTTGTCCTTACCCTAGAAGGGATTTTTTATTATTTAAGACTGTGGAGAACTAAATGGTCTCATTTGCTCAGTTCAGTCTTTCTGCTATGTAATTTCTAAAGGAAAACAAAAGACCAGAACGAGACAGGCATTGCCTTTGTCTGGGCATCCTAGGAATGCAGAGAGAGACGAGAAAAGTATCTGTCTGAAAGCTTAACAAGTACATGATACAAGTGAGCAGGCACCTAAGTAACATAGGCAGAAGGAGGTCTATTGGCTTTGGAAAATGTGCATAAGTAACTTCTTTTCATCTCGCTTTCTTTCACAGTGAATATAATGTAGTGATGGCTAGAAAAAGCAAACTAGCAGAGGACAGAAAAAGATGTGCTGAACAGTAATAAAAAAAGATTTAAAGAAAAACCATGTAAAGATTAAAAAAAAAAAAAAAACCCACCCTGGAAAGAGTTGTAGCTGTGTGAATGGCTGAAAACAGCTAATGGTGCTATTCGGAAACATAGCAAGAGTTAGATAGAGCCTAGCTGTAAGGACATGCAGTAATCATTGACTATGCATAGGCATAAATGGCAGAGAAGACAACAGTATGGTCTACTGCACTTGAAAAAGGGAGTAGCAGGAAGAGGAATGAAAGCTGTTTTAGGCCTGATAACCATAGTTGGAGACTCAAAGAAAAATGCTGGACAGCTAGTATCTTGATTTGTGGAGACAGAGCATTGGTCTACAGTACAGCGCTTACCAGTGAGTTGCTGGTGTTTTGGGGCAAGCTTAGGAACAGTAGGACAAAAAGAACACCACCCTGCGTTGAGCAGCAATGGCAGAAGTCCTTCAGAAAAGAGACAGATATTAGAAAGAGAACCAGAAGACGGTCAAGAACACGCCATACAGCTAACAAAACACAGGCAACCACACAGTCAAGAACACGAACAGAGGGCATGCTCTGAGACCATCTGGTTACCCCTCAGGGAGCTTTAGACATAGGCAAACAGAACAAGGGGTGGTGGTGGTGGGGGGGGGGGTTAGTTTGTTTATTTAAATGGAAGAGGCGGAACAGACTTCTGCTATGAGGAGAGAGATGAAAGCAGAAAAAGTGGAAAAAGAGCAGGCTGAGATGAACAACATCATTAGTGGAAGTTCTGGATCTATGACTATGAGAACGAGTCCTTTCAGGTCTGTTTTGCCTCTCAATAGCTACCATCGCTCATGTGACCCTTTAATACTTTAAATTTCCAAATAACTTGTAGAAGTTACATGGAAGTCAGATATGCCTACACAGTCCAAAAGCAGTATAATTTTAATCAAATTACTTTTTAAAGTAGTTTAAGTAAGTAAGTTCTTCATGTTTGTACTCACATTAAGAACATGTGTTTTTATTAAAAAGAGGCCAGCTGATTTGTGACAAAGGTTATTTCTGAGGCCTGACAGATAGATAGAAAAATGGCTACACTGAATGCCAACATGAGGACTAGAAATACAAGTAGGCAGCATTAACTGGTTGAATTTGAGTCCCTTTCGGATCTGGAAGCAAAAAAGGTATATGTGATTGCAGTTATGCTGTTTCCAGGGTAGTGTGCTATTAAAAAAATTAAGTCAGGTCCCTTTAACATAGGGATCTCCACATCATACTACATTATGCTGTCTACCTGCCCAGAGCTTTACTCTCCTTCAGAATACTTATCTTAAGATGAAAAGCTGATAATGTATCCAAATATAGAAACATCATCTTTTTACAATGGAGAAGAGGTTCCAAAATGTATTGTCATACCACCTTTTATGTATTTCAGCATCCATTTATCTCATCTGTGAACAACCTCAGGTTATTAATAATTCTTCCTGTAGCACAGGAAATTCTATATATTTTTGAAGCAGGATAATGTACTATGCAACCGATTTATTCCTTTCACACCTTCCAATTTTACTGTATAGTAGCAAAAGGATGGAGGGAGATGAGGAGCAAAAACTACTCTTAAAGTCCTCACGCTTCCAGCATGGTGTAATACAACTCCAGATGACTGTTCGGGTTGTGATACTCGACTGACCATCAGTCTCATTAGCAGTTGATTTGCCCAGGTTATTCCAAGTGCTGGAGAAACTCTGTTATCCGCTATACTATAAAGAAAGCATTACAGATTTCCACATGTATGAATTTAATATGAAACATCCTGAGTTCGGTTATAACTAAAAATCATCTACGGTCTTACATATTTGCTACCATTTGCTCTAATTAAAGCTGTAGGTCTTCAGAAACAGAGATTACGGGGGGGGAACTCACAACACTAAATGCTAAGCTTCCTCTCTAGTCAGCTGAGAACTGGAAGAGTGCTTTTATACAAAATAATTCAGTCATTCTTCGAACTTAGCCATGGTGAATACCTGCCTGTCTCAAAGGATCCCCTCTTGTGGCAGGAAAATAGTAATAGAAAAATGTTTGAACTTAAAATACTTTTGGCCCTGAATTCCATTATAAACTACATTTAAAGATGCTGAATAGATAGAACATCATATATATACATTTATACATACATACACACACACACATATATATGGTGTATGTATATATAGATAAATAATTTTCAATTCATCCAAGCTTAAAACAATCTTTTTCCTGGAGAATATGCAACCTCTCCAGTGAAGAGTTACAATTATCTTATTCCTTCTCAAGTTCTGAATCAGGAGGACCTGTTAACTTCTCAAAAAATACATATATTTAACTTCTAGCTTATGTAATAAATTATCATTAAGATACAAACAAAAATATATATTTATTTGAATCCTATTAACCTTTTGGTGTCAAAAGACAGTTTTTCTTGTTGCTCAGTATTTTTTCTTAAAACAGCAACAGCCACCACTCCCTCCCACAAGGTTGGGTTGCTGTATTTTTCTAAACAGACAGCAAACACATTCAGTTATATCAGAGACAAGAGGAGATACAAATCCTCCTGTGTTAGCAAGTACAGCAGCCATCAACTCCAGGGAATTTTTTCCCTAACCTACTCCCTGTGGTAAGGGATTACCACGTAACTGTATACTATGGTTTTTTTTCCAATTTACAGCATAGTAGCTATTACTGCTTTTCAGCAAATACAACGTGTTGGGTAGATGCACTGATGCTCTTAATATGTTCCTATAGTTTATATGGGAATTAAAGAAAAATATGCTGGTTAAGCGCTTCTACATATGACACTGTTACATTTCATTTTGCATAAGATGACTTACCTACAATTGCACTGAGCAGCTTCTGATTCACTCACTGCATCAGTCACCTAAATCAGAAAAGTAACATTTGAAGTTGACTTAGTTAGGCGTTTGCCTTTTGACAAACGGAAAGAAAGGGAATGAAGCCAATAAAATCCAAATTATTGAACCACATATATAAAACTCGTATTCGTTCAAGGCAAACTAAAACGGAATTGTGAAGTAGTACCTTAGTTTACAGTGCTTCAACAATTTAGCTAGCTGAAGTGTATATGAATGTAACTATTAGATGCTGAATCTGTTAAAACAAAACACAAGGGAAAAAAAAAAACAAACCACACACGCCATTCTTAAGCTGTTAACCATATCTCTTTTGTATGTGAGTGTAAAAGGCACTGACACCCAAATCTCCAAAAGGTGTCTTAATTCCCAATGAATTTACTACTTTTGAAGGCCTGTCCTTGCCTAATGAAGCAGTTTGCTTTTGACTACAAGCTAAAGACAGAAATAAAATCCACACCTCTCAACTCCCCTATATTGTCTTTTAGTATCATTTTTCAATGCCAGTTTTTCATAAACTAAAAAAAAAAAAAAAAACCACAGCAAATTTAATTGTAGGCACTTCTTTTCTAAAGGTAATGTACAGGAAAGATTACTTTCCAGCCATAATCTTCTTCACTGTTACTGTACTCAGAGTTTATTCCTGTAACTACAGACAATGTAATGAACCCATGTACTTAAAAGGAGTGGAGACAATTATTCTTAACACAGCATTCTATGATTTTGAACATCCTCTAGTCAAAAACTTGAGCTTATTCCTCTTTCTGCCTATACCAAAGGTATTTATGCATTATCCAAAAGATTTGCTTTTAACTTATGCGTGGATTCTATCTTCAGTTTTATAATTAAAATTTTAGTTCCACTGCTTAGCATTCCAGTTTCAGATGATTTAGAGGCTATACAACCAGTCTCCAAACCCAGCTGCTCTATCCCCTGGAGATACAAAATTTTAAAATTTAATCTCCAAATGATACCAGTGCCCCACCTCATTACAGAAAGAGAGTCCAAGTGCAACAAGCCAAAAGCTCAGGAACAGACAGACTGGAACGACTCTCCAGAAACCCAAAGAGAGGATAATAACGGCAAAGATACCTGCAGGCCTTTTTCTGATAGGAAAAGAAATTTGGGGCTAGCATCCCCCCAAATCCTCCTACTTAGACGTGTTGCTATATATACCTAAAATGCAAAGTCTCATAAACCCTGCTTTCGCCCAACTCAGGAGAAAGCCTTACATTCACGGGCATTTAAGTAAGTTTTCCTTCCTGATGTTTCAATAGCACTCTGAACAGCTAGCCATGACCAGAAGCAAGTTATAATCCAGAAAGCTCAGGTGCCAAGGCACTCAGTTACCTATCTGTAGAGCTATATCTAGTAGAAAATCCTTGGAGCCTGTTTATTAACTCTGACTCCATGTAACACACAACAGAAGAAAGATCTTATTTAAATGCTCATTTATCAGAGCATAGCACTCCTGGATTTTTCCCTACCTGATGACATTTGAACTTGCATGTCCCTCCTGCTAAGCAAACAGTGAAGCCACCAGGGATATTCTGAGGTAAACACCGTTCCTTCTTAAATCATGTGCACTAATGGTGGGCTAAAGTGCTCACATAACTTCAGGTTTGGATGCAAGGCAGATTCAGACTTGAGAAGAACCAATGTTGTGAACCAAAAGTGCTAATACTGCACAGCATACTCTGCCAGCCACAGAAAGAATGAACAGATTCTACAGCTTAATGGTTAAGGTACTCACTTGGGAAGGCAGAATCCTTGCTTAAGGTAGCCTGAAGGCACCTGATACCATTTATTAGCATTTCGGTGTGCTGTTGGAGTTTGGGGTTTTTTTTTTTCTTTTTTCTTTTTTCCATTTTGCAACTCTAGTTTTTGTCAAGGCTGCTCAAGAGCTTTGCATCCTTCCACTAACATAGTACCACTGCTCCTTCAGTTTGTCATCTCCTTCGAGGATGCTCATACCTAGTTTAGAAACCTACTGGCACCTGTATTAGTTTTCAAACTCCACACCTATCAGAATACAGTTCTGAAGGAGCTTACTTTAGTTGGCATATGGTCAGATTATTGTGATCTAGCATCAATCAGCAACTTCATTTAAAACTCCCATTGTGGCAAGGCAATTCTAAGAAGGTCTCTTAAATCTTTTTTTTCCATGGAGAATCTTTCCAACGCAGAGATCTGTAAGTATAAACTTGTCTTGCCCTTAAATCAGATGATCTTTTGCCTGCTACGTGGCAGCCCTCAAAAAACCCTTGGAAAAAGGCAGACAGCGTTTCCACAAGCCTATACGCTAAAGAGGATCCCATAAACTAGCCAAGGAATTTCATGCCATTGGTTGAGTTCACAGTGCAAATGCTGAAGCACACAAACCTTTGCGTACCAAATAGCAAAATCCAAACCGTGCTTCCTAAGAGGTGCAAGTTGCTTCTAATAATAGGAAATTTCAGAAAGCAGTTAAAGGAAACTCCAATTTTCCTCAAAAGTTAGCTGATGCTATGAAATGACTATGTGAGAGAAAGTTGATTATTAAAATTAGAGATAACTTTAGTATGAAGTTTAGATTTTTAATTTCTTGCATGCATGCTAATGCTTTAGTAGAGTCAGCAGTTTTATCAGGTGAGAGCATACAGAAAGCACTGATCTGGCAGCAACGCCCCCAGTGTTTCACTGTCTCTTGTATATAGCGAATATATTTGTGCGTGAAGCATTCCCAGAGCAACCCAGAGCACTGCTGATAAGAGCGTCTGAAGCTAAAGGAAGAAAGAATTCTGTTATTTCAGTTTGATGGGTTTTACAGTTACTATGCATATCCATTTTCATTAGCTTTAATGAAAACCACTTTTGAGAACATTAACAGTCTATAAAAGCTTAAACGATATTCTTAAATTCTGAAAAAGTTAAAATTTACTGGTTTAAAGTAAACTAGTTTAAAGAAACTGGAAGTTTCTATCTGTCATTAAGATTCAGTTGATAGTGTCACTTTAAAAGCAACACTAACAAATCTGTCTGCACAAATCTCCTCCCCCATTAATTTAATTGCCATAGAAAGTAAGAAGTAATTTAGATGTCATACCTGATTAACGCACATTATTGGAGTCCTGAATCTAGTGCTTAAACTGTGAAGCTGTGCTCCAAACGTCTGCAAATACCGAGCTTTCCTAACAGAATCTGAAACTCCAAATTCACATCGAAACAAAGCGGCAATAGAGTCGATGACCACCAGCCGTACCATGCCTCTTGTGAGCAGTAAAGAAATCCTTTTAGTAATGCAGTTGTGGAAGGTGTCCTATCACAAAATTGAAATATCTGACTTTGAAATGATTCGCATAACAATATTTTAAGATTAAGATAGTAATTACAGTTCTCATCACTTAAATGTAAGCTGATGGGGTTTCTAATCATAGAATGAGTTTGTGGATCTGTAAGTTTTGCTGGTAAAAATTTTTAATAGGTGCCTCATGCTTTTAAATAAAGCCAACAAACAAACAAAGGAAACTAAATGCAATCTTTGTATATCATGTGGAATCTACTGAACTTATTTGCAGCTGTACTTGCTTAAAATCAACTATGTATGGATGTTTCCAGATCTCAGGAAAGCAATAGTACAGTCCTGAACCACTCCTATTTTACAGCAGTGGTTCCACTGAAACACTGAGAACTCAACACTAGCATGAAACATTCAAAATAGAAGTTAAAGACTATACTGCTGTTCCACTAATGACATTTTGGTAATAAAACATACAGGTACTGTATCAAACATGCCTTGATCAAAAGTCCTATTAATGTTAGTATCTGCCACTTATTTCCTTCCTTTTTGTGAAAAAGAGTTTTATCAATTGAATATTTTGAAGTTTCCCAAACTTTCCAATTGCAGGAAGTTTTACTAGCAAATACTTTGCAGAGCGTAACTTTTATCGTATCGTAATAGTCATACTAGTCAGGCCAAAGGTCCTTCTAGGCTGCATCTTGTCGTTAGCAGTGGTCTAGAACAGCTGAGTACAAAGCAGAGCAAGTATACGATAATCTTACCTTCTAGATATCAATGATTCGGGGACAACTTGGGGCGGGGAGGAGAAAAGAAAAAGCAATAACCAGACAGTTACAGTTCTTTTGCTTGGTGCCATTCTTTACAAAGAAATAGGGGCTCACAGCTAAAAGCTTACATGCATCCAAAATTACATGTAATATCTTTCAACATTCCACAGCTATTAAAACTAGATTGTAATTCTCAAGTCTGAGTTACAGTAAGATCTATTCTATAAAACTCGCTGCTTCTGACAAAAGCAACAGTATTATAATTTCAAAGTCATTTTTTTTAAATAAAGTAAAAATTACTCAGTAGAATATACGACCTTCGGGTTCTGGAAAACGGAATTTTTTTTGGTGTCCACTTGCCGGTATGTCTACAGGCAACTATGCTTCACTTCAAACATTTCAGTTTCTAAACGTATGGGAACTTTCTGTTCACACAGGACTCATTCCTTTCAAATGAATACATGAAGAACCGGATTCTTCAGAATTAAGCATTTCAAAATTTTGATGTGGAAAAAAATACAGAAGGTAATTATAATTTGAGTGTCTACTTCAACTGCTATAATCTCTCTCTCTCTCTCTATATAATACAATTCTGTGTATATTGCTATGTATGTGTAATCTATATGGAGTGAGAGAGTGAGCAAGCGAGAACACAATCTATATAAAAAAATACATAAGTTGTGAAAAATCTATTGTGCAGTTGCTTGACTTACTAGTGAGTATGTTTTAAGGGCATTTTAGAGAAATGTACATACTATTTTAAGCTGATCTTTTCCAGTTATTGTGCAGACTTTTTACCAAAACATACTCCATAGCTCCAAGAGACTGCAGTAGGAACTTTAATTAATGTTTCCAATGGAAGGTACATGGAAAAGGTAACTTAGCTCCTGTCTGGACTTTGCAGTGAATAAGTGGCAAATATATCATACTAACGTACAATATTTTCTTACACTTATAAACTAAGATTAACAAAGCCCCAGCAATCAGAATACGTTAACAAGTGCTACTTCTGAACCTTACAGAAAACAGAACTTCTAATGTTCTAATAGATAAACTGCACATTCATGGCCATTTAAGAAATCAGAAAGCACACAGATGTGTCTTTACAAGGCAAGAACAAGGAACTGAAGTTATTATCTTTTTCCCTCAGCTCTACTAAGTTGTCTAACAACGAGAGAAGCAGAAAGATAGCAGCACTACAGCTGTTATGCTGTGCCACTACTTATTCTGGACATCATTTTTTGTATCCTTCCCTCCCATCCACTTGATTTTCAACTTATTAACTCTAGTCTTATATTGCAAGTATGGACCACCCTCTGCATATGTATTTGTATCCTCTCTGCAAACCCAGTCAAGAGCTCTCTAGGAGCTGTAGTAAAACCAGTAGCAATACCTCTACTACATTTTAATAAACATAATTATTTATAAAACCTGCCACGTTATTCATTCTAAAAAAGATGAATATTCATCTTTGTATATCTCCTGAGCTTTCACAATGAAACAAAGTAAAAGACTTAGCTCCTGAAGACCTGACTCAGTTTTCTACTAATAATTTGCAGAGATAAAGAAGCAGAGATGTAAATCTTAGGTCACTTGTAGTCTTTTGCAAGCTCTTCTACATCAAGATGACTCCTGTGGTAACTGGATTATGGTGTTATAATGATGTATTTGTAAGTTGTGCTACTACTTACTAGGTCTGCTGCATGCTCAATGAAAATACTGTTTCCAAATTTTATTTTCTGAATGATTTCAGTTGGAACATCTGCACGCAGCTTATGCTGTTGATCTATGAGTTGCTGCAAACGTTTACTTGGGAATACATCTTCTGTACAAATGTAGACAGCCCCTACAATACAGAAAACAACCTCTGTTATTACATCACAGCTCTTACGTAGACACAATTTTGTTAACAGCGCAGAGACAAAACAATGCATTATGCACTCAAAAGCTAAGCATATTGAACCGGAAATTTCTACATCCCTACTGAATCAATGATGAACAACCAAAAGAAAACGCTGCTATGACTTTCCTGTAGCTGCCAGATGCCTTTTTAGTCCCTGCTGACGCAACTGCATTTTTGCACTCCCCAGGGGTCCACTAGGTGCCGCTCTTCTTGCATGGCTGCAGAATAGCCGCTTGCCTAACCGGGATGATTGAGAATTGTAACTGTAACGTATCCAACCACAAACAGAATAATACTGATACTGCATAGTTTGCCTTAGACTAGAAATTCTGATTAATTTCCCTCACCCTTCTGAACCTTCTTGATACCACATTTATATACGGAGGGGTACTTTTTGTCATAACTTGGAAAACAGTTTAAAGAGAATCAGTCATCCATTTTCATTCCAACTAACTCTTCCTGAAAATGGTACATTAGATTAAAAAGTATCATACTTCATCACCTTATTGTGAGTGGTGCCTATATATTTTTACTGCAGGTTCTGGTTAACAACTATGCATTATTTCAGAGAAAGTTAACTATACATGTCAAATTCTTGGGGAAAAAAAGGATTATGTGCAGTATTTTCTTTATAAGAAAAATGTTGCCATTATTGTAGAGTTAGCCAATATTGTCTGAAAATAACACTTAATAATTATAGGATTACATCTAAGGATTAAGCCCACTCACTGAAATGGTTCAAGCTGCTAATAGAGCTCGGCAGCAGATGTGCTTAGCATTATTAGATATCCTCGATATTCCCACCCCAGTGGTCCATTTTCTACACTGCCTCTCCAGGGAGCAGAAAGTCCCATTCCCAGTTGCAAACTCCAAATACACTACATATGCCGCAGAAAAAGTATGAAACTATACCCAATATTAGAAAGCGGAAGAGCACAGGACTGGACTGAGGAAATATTAACAGATTTCCATTCCAAATAAAAATATTTTGCTGACGGACACCTGCATAAGACAGGCTACTGAATTTTGAGTACTCTTCTAGAACAGACAAGCATGACTATAAGCCTAATTTTCTTGAAGACTAAACTTGCTTCTTCAGCTTAACCTTCCCCATCCTTTCACCATTAATTCTTTCACAAATCATCCTACTTCCTTTTTGAAGCATCAAAAAAAAAAAAAAATCATTATTTTTCCAAAGCCCAGAGAGTCTTGTTTTCAAATACGCAAAAAATATCAGCTAGAGCAATTAAGTTCACGCATGCCCACTGATTTATAAAAAATGTTAATCTTTGACAGATGAGATTTAAAAGTCTTCCTCAGCTATTAACAGAAGGGAAAATACTTCTTCATTATCCACTCCTTCCAAAGGAACATTTCCACAATTTCTAAATTCATCATGGACAACCCTTCTATTCTACCTAGGCACAGTTTCAAAGTATACTTCAGCATCTTTTCACTTCCCGTGGCTCTGCCAGCCCTAGCCTTTCTCACTAATGTATTCAGTCTCTATCGATTTCCCACATTGCATTATATACCGCTACTGATGTCAGAGTAAGCTCAGGTTTTTTTAGCAGCTTACAACGTTTGACATTGAACGAGCACTAAAATAAAGCATTACTGATCAGGGCAGCCATGACCTGATCATGATTCCTGTACTGTAACACAAAAAAACAGTACACAATTGAACCACAAATGGTTTCTGTACTTTTCTCCCACTTCCTATTTCAAATATTATTTGAGTGGATGCAATTCTGAATTTGAAACTGTAGGCATAAACAACGTATTTGATAATTACAATAGTTGAACTCATATGCAATACTTGTAGACGCAAATGAGCATACATGCAAATTTTCACCAGCACAGCACAGAAGAAAATCAAAACAGAAAACAAGTCCATCAGTACTTGAATACATTGTTTACAGTGACATCCACAGCTTGCTGAATACTAACTTGTATGTATATCAGGATGAGAAAAGCACAGTAAGTTATTTAATAAATTGTAGGCATGTAACTGCTACAATTCGTTAAACAGCTAACTACTAAACAGCTCATTAAGTGAATTTTAACTTTCTTGACTATTTTCCTAGGTTATTTTCTCTTAACTGGATCGTTTCTCACAGCAGTCACTGTCAAGTTGAGTAGTGATAAATATCGAATAGGCAGGCGTGTAACTTGACTGAAAGCAGTTCCATGCGTTCCTAATCAGATTTTTCAGTTTCATCATTTCTAAAAAAACAGAGAGTCGAGACAAATTTCTAATCATGAATTTGATTCATGTTACGTATATCTAGCATCAATATTTGCTCAGGTAAGCCAATTATCTCTTGCAACATTTGAGTCACAAAACTTGAATCATTATGGTGCAAATCCACAGCTTTGGATAAACTTGGTGGGGGCAGGGGAAAAAAAGATACGCAGCTGCCTTACGCCAGTGTGCTTCTGAATTCATACTAACAAAAGCCATGCTAACTTGTGTTGAAATGTCTTAAGGCTAGAAGAGTTCCCATGCACAACATTCTGGACCTCTCAGCTACCGTTCTTATTCACAATGGACTGGCTTTTGCACAACGCGGCCTAATACGGGGATTTCTTTATCACAAATACTGGTTTACAGAGAGAATATGTGCTTTTTAAAGTCAGACCTGCCTTAAGCAGTATGTCCTTTGTACACTCCTCAGTTTACATAAAGGGTGGAATGTTTGTTATTTGAGACTGTTTTATGTCTTTTCAAACGCAAACTCATATTTCTAGATAGAGCAATACTATATTGTTTAGCTATTTGCATTTCAATCCAGAGGTATTGCACCATTCAATACATTTCAAAACAAAGAATACAGCGTTCTTGCTGGAGAAAAGTGTGTGTGTGTGTGTGTGTGTGTGTGTGTGTGTGTACATGTATGTATGTATGTAGGGATGTATAACTAACTTATCTGGAGACAAAGAAATGTAAAGTTCTACTGAAGATGAAGACCTTCCTCATAGATAACTTCAGTACATTAGTAAGAACAGTGATAGGAACAATCACGGCGTGAAAGACGACGACTAAAAGTATCAACCAGCCCTACTGTACCACAAACATACTGAGTTGAGTCTCAATTTCATATTTGTATGTGATGAACAAGTAAATTAAGGCAAGCAAGGTAATCCTGCAGCTGTAATACTTCTAGGGAAGAAAAAGAGGCTGGAGAAGCAAAAATCTGGTCCTCTCTGAGCTACTGGTCCAGCAACCTGGTTTTAAAATACCTGCCCAATATATACACTTTATACCCCTTGTAAAATCACAACAGGGATTTTAAAGTTTGAATGATCACATTTACTCATGCTAAATAATTGTTTTATGCAAACATTTGTGTTGAAGAATCAAAAGAGATTATTTACTTCTTAAGAACAGTGTCAGTGCACAGACTGACTGGCATTTCCTGCCTCAATTCAGTTTTGCAAATACCAATCAGTTACCTGCCAACCTTCTACTCTGCTGCAACACTTCTATGACACCAGTTAAACCTAACAGAGCAGATACTGTACTCTGAGTACATAACTGTTCCATTTGTGCTTTCTCCAAAGTATACAGTTAGACAACGTCCTTTCTTCCTCAAAATGCTGCTCATTTCAGGAGACAGTAATGTAATTTTCATCCTGATCTTTCCTGAGTTGATCCACACAAAATAGAGTGGATGAACTTTGTTTTGGCCTAAAATTCAAGCTTCACAGTAAAAGGAGAGTAGCACTCTGTTCTATCCTTTGTAAAGACTCTTCAGCTTCTGTTTAGGACCTTCAGTTTGAGCTACAACAAAAACATTTGATTAGCAAGAACACACACCCATGCATTAAAAATACAAGAGGTGCTCTGTAGTACAGTTACAGGAGTTCAAGTTATAAGGGACTGACAGATAAGCAAACCCAACAGTAAAGGCAGATGTTTTATCATGAAGCCAAAGCACTTAACAGTACTCAAATACCTTAATGATAGGTGGATTGTCCTAACCTAAATAAAAATAAGAGATCAGGACAACACAAAGAAGAAAGCCTGTGGCATCATGCTATTTGCAGTTTATTAGGAAGCTGTCAACACTAGCAGCAATTCAAGAGTATGGACATTTACCACTTTTGAGAGAGAAGCTGGGAGACGCTTAGGAAGTTGTCCTGAATGACCACATAAGCATCCTTCCCCACAGTTCTACAACAAGCAAATAGAAACTAGCTATTTTATCAGATCTCAATGCTTCACTGTCATTTAGGCTGATGAGAGTACTATACTGGTTGTTGACCAAAAAAAAAAAAAATCTCAGAAGTTGTAAATGATCTTCAGATAAGGGAATAGAAGAGTTTTCAGTCCTAGAAACATAATCTGCCATGCACCAAACTGACCTTTTTAACAAGAATCAGTAGCAAATATCTTTTCTAATTCAGAATTCTAAAGTAGTTTGTCATGCTATATTAATTTATTACTCATAAATATGGGCATATAAATTCAGCCAATATTCTAAGAATGTCAGTTATGGTCTATTGAATGGCACAAAGACAACCTTGAGGCAAAGGATGTCCCAGTTTTTTGGTTTGCTGCCAACCTTCTAGCACTGAAAACTGTAAACAAGAATAGCACAAAGTCAAATGAAGTAAATACACAATAAATCTTTACTGTCTCAAGAAATGTATTTCAACATCACCACCAAAGAGGCAGCAAAAGTTTCTAGCACTAAAAAAGTAACTCCATAAAAATTTAAACGTTTAGTAAACTTTGAGCAAGAAGTTTTATCTTTTTCTGTTGGTCGAGCTAGACTTCTGTGATGATTAATAGGCATAATTGTTCTCCTTCCTCCAAGTTTTGTAAAGAAAAAAAGCTCTTCGTTACTTTATTTCCTGTATTTCTTCATATGCAACCGAACATTTCTTACTGATAGACTGTAAAAGAATCAAGGCTGTGCAATACCCTTTAACTTTGTATCATTTCCCCCCCCTTCATTTTGGGGTATTCTAATTTTACAAAACAGTTCAATAAATCCAACATATTGGTTGTAATACTGTGACCACAGTTTAGAATTTTAAATTTTACCTTGAAATAGATCTGCTCTGACATACTATGATGATGACCTGCTACGTTGCAGCTCTTACTAACACATCTCATAAAGATAGGTACCATTCATTACCTGTTCCTAAAAACAAGGATTTATTGATGTACTTGTACAGTAGTCTAATCAAGATCCTCAAAAGTTCTGTCCTCTCAGCCCTTCAAAAATGCTCTGGTTCTCCCACAGGAAAATTGATAGGATGACCATCCTACCTACTGCTGTTCCATGAAACACTTGGCAGTAGGTAAATGGGGAATGCAACTCCAATGAAGCCAAGTGCTAAGGAACAGCCACTATCTTCACACACAAATAACAGACTTGCTATTCTGTGGCCCTAAAAGGAAGACTGAAGAGAGAAAAATGCCAGTAGGACGCTGGCCCCTTTTCTCTGTACTTTGAATCTGTTCTAGTTTGTTCCTTTCTTCCAACATAAAAAAAAGAGAAGCACTCGGCCATGAATGAAAATATATTTTCACTCACGCTATCTGTGGCAGTTAACAGCAACACAGGAAGGAACTGAACAGCATGTATTTGCTCCTGCTCTGATTAATAACGTAATTTAAAGCAAGGTAAGGCAAGTCAAAGGCTCGTTTCTGCCCTTTAAGCAGCATCTTCCTTTAGACAGTCCAGGATTTTTCCACATGGGTAGATATGGTACATGAAATGATCGAAGAAGTTTCCCCACAACAAACCTCTGGGCTGCCAAATTAAATCCCGTGGTATATAGAAAGAAGAGCAGGATCACAGCCAAAAAACAACCAAAGTAAACCACCAGGACAGTGAATTCTTGGAAGTGAGACAGATTTTTCTCTTTCTAAAAAGACATAAGAAAACTCAAAAGAAAGTATCAGAAGTTAGATTAAGGTGATAAAGACAGTTAATAGCCATATTCAAAGAATAAACCTACTTATTTTTGCAAAAATTGGAAAATCGCAGGTACAAAACAATGCTTTTTTTCAACTAGTTTCCATTAATTTTTCTCTGTAAATCATTTTAGTGTAATCAGATTAAATATTATTTGAAATCTGAAACCTCTGACTAGGGAATATATACCACATACCAGAGATGTTTGTGGAAAATTACCTGTTTGACAAGCTATTTTGCTGTGGTTGTTACTTGAGGAGACAATAAGTACTTATGACAGCAACGCTTTTCCTATGTTGTTTGCATGCGCGTCTCACTTTATTCACATTGGTAGGTGGGTAAACAACAACCAACAGCAATTTTATATCACATTATGTTGCAATGCAGGGCTTGTACACAGTATGCTTTTAGCTCCATAATGCTGCATTACCAATTAGCTTACCACTAATGCTATTGCAGAAGGGTAAGACATTCAGTGAATAAAAACATTTACTTCAACACGGAGATGATGCTCTTAAAGAGAGCATATTCCTGCAAACGGCAAATAAATGAACGTATACATTTCAGTACTTACCAGACTCTAATCCACCATATTTGTAAGGATACTGCACACAAAGACACAGCTGCAAACTAATCTGAGTTTTCCCAGCAGAACTTTCGCCGGCAAGTTCTGTGACTCCCACTAAAGGAATGCCACCTTTTAACAAGTTATCTAGTACTGAACATCCCAGGCTTAGTTTCTGGCTTTGGGAGGTGAGATGATGTTTATCTTGGTAGAGCTGAAGTGCTGAAGGATATTATTTTTAAGGGGCGGGCGGGGGGGGAAGGGGAAAGAGGGGAAAAAAAAAGAAGTTCCATTCAATATCTTTCTAATACACAACGATAGAATATAAAGGCCATACACCAGCTTTTTATCTCCAAAAGATACTTTCTTTGTTGATGGGAGATTTTCCTAATTTAGCCTGGTTTTCCCCACCTCCCCATGCACAATCTATTAATTATATGCCATGTTCAAAAACAAATAATTTACACTGTATCCTTTCCTCCTCTCGATCTTTTTCCTTTCTCTGCCTCTAAGGAGTCTCTGTGGAAAGCTACACATGGAACATCTTGACAACATGGTTCAAGCAGAGCAATTATGGAAACGAAAAGCTGCAGCAGACTATGAAGCAGCATAGCAGGCATCTGGCCAAGACCTGAAGATACATGTAAACCTCAAGAAAACAGATTTGAAGCATGGAGCTGCCATGAAGCGTTTGCACAGGAGGAGCTGTCAGATCCTGCAGATTTAGAATTATGTTTTTGTATCACATCATTTACATAGCTTATAACAGACAAGCTTTTCAACTAGTCTCAGTCCAAAAGGAAAAATAATGAGAGACAGAGTTCAGCAAGAAAAAGAGAAATCTTACGTTCCCCTAATCAAGTTTTCCAGGCAGGGGAATTATTTTGTCGTGTTTTAAACAGCCTTGATCCTGAAGAATGACACCTGTCTGCTTCCATCTACCTTCAGGATCTCACAGGTGCTATCATTAAATAATTTACACAGCAAAACCCAAAACATTTGCCTTTTCATTTTCAGAATCATTATCAAATCCTACTAACTAGGAGCCAAAACTATAACTTCTCCCAGTAACAATATATTTGATGATTTAAATAGAAGGCCTTTTTTGCATTAGCTGTATTACCTGTAAGCATACTATTTTTCCTCAGCGTGAGAGAGACTGTTTTCAGTAAACACTGTATATCTGCACTGGAGAGTTTCATCAATCTTTGTAAGTCTGCTTCAGAAAGATTTAAAATCCCTTTCACTGATTTTATGTCAGCTGAAATTAGAGGAATTCTTATAAATACTTTTGGCTGGATTACAGTCTTATGCACAAAGTAAAAGTTTTCTCACTTCCTACTAGTCATGTACATAAAGTTTATCCACACTGCAGGATTAGATTCTTGTGATCTAAGCAGGCAACATTTACTCTGAACATATCAAAGCATGCTATAAAATTGTTTGGAATCACTGGTTCACGGGAAGAAGTTATCACTTCTAATTGCTCACAAGTTTGGCTTATGAAACATTTAATTACAGTTCCAAAATGCTGGCGTATGTATATATGCTTATATTCACAAACATGCAATTATTTAAAGGAAGACCTATCAGCTATACATTCACAGATTAAGTTACCTTTTTTAAGGGCCGCAATTACTTTAGGGTTCAAGTCAAACTGGTCCCAGTCCATTTCCTGATACAGCAACTGGGGTGAACAGAGCATCAGGTAATTATTACCTATTATAAAAATTTTTATCGGACATACATGCAATACAAAAATAAGTATGACTCAATGTGTTAACTTTGTAGGAATATTCTATTTTTACTTTTTAACAATATATTTATTCACTGTTTTAGAAAAGCAGCAATGATTCAGCACGTTAGCCAAGGTCTTCTCAGCTAGTTCTTTACATATATGCTATTAAAGACTTCAACTAGTAACGAAGTAGTTACGTATTGCTGGTCATTTTAATTGCATACCCACGTAGGGTATTTGCTCTGGACTGTAGCTCGCAAATAGACTGGCTATCTTGCCATTCTTTGCAACAACTGTTCATTTTTAAAGAGGAAAAAAAAACCCTCAGACATGCAATTTAGAATAATCATAAGACTAGTCATATATCTGAAAGGCAAACGTATTTTGATTTTTCTAAAGCACAGTTTGTTAGTAATAACAACATTACATGCTATTTTAATACTGTGATCTAAAACACCACAGTTTAGTATTATAATTACCTAGGAAAAAAATACTATGATGCTTGTTACTATGCAGATCATCTTTATGAAGGACCGCGGCAGACACTTAACAGTTATATAACAATACGTGACTTAATGAACATTCACCTTTTTAACACAGGGGAAGGAAGTTTACCATGGATCCTGAGAACAGAATGAACGTAGGAGAAAAAAAAAATCAATTATTTTTTAAGCAATACTTATTTAAAGCAACTTTCTGACAAGTGTTTCAAAGTCCAAACTTATTGCAATTAATTATTATAATGACCTTTGACTTGAAGGATTCCAAGTCATTTTGTCGACTTCACTCATCTGAAGCCATTGAAATTCAGCCACTGCTGCTTAAGGCACTAGGAAGAGAGGGAAATTACCAGGAAACGATTATAGCAGAGCAGGATTGGAGCAAAAAATACAAAGGACCTTTGTTTTTAAAAGTCTTTTTCAAGATCCTCATGCACTTAACTGTATGATATTCATTAGTCGGAGAAGAGGGGGGGAAAAAGCATCTATTCGGTACTGATTCGTATTCGTGGTTGGAGGCATAGGAAAAACGCATAAATGGATAAGCTCATCGGGCAGGTAAGTTACACGACTTTACAGGTATAACCGCGAAGATAGGACGGCTGCGACCTCACAAAGCAAATTCGCATTCGCCAGAGCCTTCCCGAGCAGGACCACTGCCATCGGCACTGAGGAAAACACCGCTCTCCTGCAGACAGTAGCGCGCACAAGCTGACTGCATGTGACTGTCGCGGCAGACGCGGTCTGGCGGCCTCACAGCGCTCGGCATCTCCCCCCCCCACCCCACCCCCCCCCCAACGGTCCTAACGGTCCCCGCGGCG